ACTACCAATAATGTCGATGTTGAAAAAGAAAGTAAAAATCGCCAGAATGATTGTACTATTCAAAAAAAACAAACATAATTTCACCAACTGCAGATCAATTATGTAAGTATAAATTGAATATAAAAAAACATTACTGCTAATTCTTAAAAAAACAAAACAAAAAAACATCACAATGCAATATTTTAGTAGTCTTAATGGGATTAACCAATGAAAACGTGTGCTGAACATATCACTTTAATTATTATAAATTTATTGATTTAAAAAATGATACTAGTTTATCATAGCATGCTCATTATTTATCTAATGGCTGGAAACCTTTTGGAATAAACTAGTTTGTTTTTTACATTTTCAGGATGGTGAGAACAGCCTTATTAGTAAAACACCAAAATCCCATTAGTCCCATTTTTGCCAAACTCTCTTGACCCTAAAACACATGGAACATCCATTTTACTCTTTTCATTCCTCTCTCTACCTCTGTGCTGCTTTGACCGGGCCAGGACTGATGGGATGTCCACACCTCATTCATCAACACATGCCCATTGTTTGTAGATTTTAACCTCCATCAGCTTTAGTCTTGCTTTAGCCCTCAGAGACCCACAAATCTGCTCAAATAAAGCCTTGAATCAGGTTGAACTTGAGTGAACTGCGTGCACTAGTCTGACCACCCTTAGCTGGATTTTTTTAACCGTATTTTGAGCTCTTCATATTTGGATGTTGTTGTTAATGACAAAACATGTGGGAGGAAAGTTTTACATTAGCTTCACTTCCGCCTCTATGCTCCCACAACCTTGTTTTCTCACATCAAGATACTTTTGAAAGTAAATTCTTCACTATAACCCTACAACCCAATAAATGTGGAAACATAGAACCCTCTTTCAAAATGTTCTAACAAAGGAGGGAAATGTGAGCTTTTTCAAGCTATACATTACTGGCCCAACAATAAGTTGTGCACATGGTAATAGCACAAACACAACAAATGCATGCTTTCTGTGTATGTTGAATACATCAAGCTTCAAAAATAGGCTGGATTCTAATACCTACCTATTACCGGGTCTATCTACCACGGATGTTGTGGCTTCAGTTTTTCAAACACTCCCCTTTGCTTAGCATCCACACAGCCCTGATTTTCTTCATTGGTGTCTCAGGAAAATTTGAATTCTGTTATCTGCAGCTGCATGAGCTGCACAAACTAAATAAACTGTCATTTCTAATATCTATGCATCTACATACGTAAAGTATAACTCAAGTTTATGTAATTTTTGAGTGTGTAATGCGATAAAATTAGAATGTAAAACTGGCATCTGAGTTTAAAGGGACAGTCTGGAGTCAATGGCCATAGTTAGCCTGACACTAAAAACAGTCTTACCCACAGAGCACCCGAAGCAAATCTGTTATTACACCAGACTATCGATGTAAATGTCTGTGTTGATAGAATAATTTTAGAAGTAAAACCAACCTTTCATTTGAAGGATTTATGTCTAAGCAGCAGCAATGAGTTGTAGAAAACTTGGCGGTCTCGGACTAATATCACCTAGCACCTGTCTTACCAGCAAAGTAAAATTCCGCTGCTGTGCCTAGTACCAGCGACCTTTGCAAATACAAGGACTGGATGGAATATTTTAAAAAGTGTCTCCACACGTCTCCAACACTCTGGCTCACTAGGAAATGAGGTCCTATGTCAAAAATTCCGGACTGTCCCTTTAAGGCTAATTAAGTACTGTATCTAAATGTGTGCTCTTTGTGTACCTTCAAGGCTATGATATTCTGAATCAAATAGAACTCAGACTACTTTGAACCTTATACATATTGCACAATGATAAATAACTGTAAACCCAACAGTTTTTTTCTTCGCTCCTGATTCCATCCCCACTTTAGTCTAAGCGTTTATTCTTGTCGTCCTTTTTTCGATGTAAAACACAAACCTGGATGTTTCCCTCCAGAGACCGCTGCCTCCCTGGACGGCGGCCATGATGGATGTTGTAGGAGACGGAGAGGACACATTTCCCATGAGGCCGAGCGGCGCAATGCAGGTTAAACAGCACTCAATACAGAAGTAACAAACAGCAGAGGACAGATGGCTGATGGTGATATGCTTGGGGAAATACAGGAAAGTACTGTATGTCAAATTTAAACAGGAATATTAGGGTAAATCGTTGTTTTTTTCAGACAGCTAAAGACATGAACTACTGTATTTTGCTGGTTCACTGTGCCCTTTACATAACTTTATTTTATTTGGTCACATCATACCTCCAGTCATCCTTCTGTTGACATCTTTAAGCAATTTAAACATATATTTTCCTTGTTGTTTTTTACCTGGTGCAGTTGAACACCTCCCCTAGCTTGCTCCATGTATAATCGAACTACGCTGCACAATGTATGTACATTTATGTACATTGTGTCTGTACGGAGTTTTCCGGATGTGTTATTAGGATTTGAGAGACTCAAACCATGACACCTTAATAGTAGTTTCCGGGTTTACATACATTTTTAAAAATAATTTTTAATTGGACTTGGCCAGTTAGCCTGTCTAGTTTTCCTGGCATGAAAGTAAATGTTGTGATTGAGTGCAAAGGAATATCCATCTGAATTAGTGAATATATTTCCACCAATTCGACTCTTGGATGAGACCACTCGTGTTATTGAGCAAGACAATTTACTTAATTTAAGTGTGTGAGTGATTGGTTGTGCATATTGGCAGCTTTGGCTAAAGAAATAAACTGTCTTTGAGTGTCCTAAACACATTGTATTAATTGAATTCCTTATTATTATTAGTATCATTCTTGCCACTTGTATGAAGAAACCAGTTCTGAGTAACAGAATAAAGAATAGAATTATTGCTGTGTCTGGGAAAGTCTTGCGATTTTTTGCAGTCTGCTGCCTCCACAATCCAGATCAACAAAAGATGGATAACTCTTTTTGAGCACACTCACATTATCATTTGTCAAACCTAAATCAGAGATGCCAAAACATTTTCAATGCACAACTCTATAATCAAACCCCAAATCTTTGATGCCAAATTCAAATTGAAGCAACAACACATGACAAATTGTAAATGCATATTTCAGAGACAGACCCTCCTGGCTCTACTGGGTACATAGCTAAAATTAGGTCCTGTGTCCTGCAAAATGCTGTCTCCCACTCTGTCCCGGCCCGGTGGGGACAATGGGGGTGTGATGGTCGGGACAGCCCACCTCAGCCCTGTGTCACTGGGCATTCATCATCTGCAGCGGCCCTGTCTGTTCCACCTCCAGACGCTCTCCACGGGATCAGACCCTGTCCCAACTCTGTCCCAGCTCTGTCCCACAGTGGAATGGACCTTCTCCCAGTTCACCAATTGGGTTGGTCCCCTGTCATGCTGTCGGTGCCACCTCCTCTGTACTGTCTTTAACTCTGTCCCATGATGTGCTTTCATTTACATACAGTACAAAATTATACTGAAATATCATATAAATTTAGGCACTTATATTCACCTTATTCTGGAAGTTGCCGCCATCTTCATTCAGGTTTTATTATTTTGGGTGGGGATGCCAATCTTTACAAGCAAATACATTCATTACGAACTACAAAGCTGCTTTAAAGTCTAGAATTTGTGCATTTTTGACTTGTTGGTGCACATGAATATTGAGCATTTTACACATACAGTATAAATCTACATTATATCATATTTTATCAGTGAAACCTTTCCCAAATTCTCACTTTAAATGAATGGGATTCCCACTTAACCAGAAGTGCCACTACAACGAAAGTGCGATTTAGTAGCATGTAAAGGCAAAAGTGGACGGGTGCAGAATATGGTCAGTAGTTAGTGAGTTTGGTAAAATTTGTAAAATGAATACTCTAGTCCAGAACTCAACTCTTATCAGTAAGGAGGAAAATACACTGTATGGGTAACTGCATTTACTGACCTGACATGAGCCAATTTCATGTCAACATTTCAGATATCGGTTTAAAAATTACAATCCTGTGACTGAGTTAGTGTTTGAGCTAATGAGTTTGGTTTCTATATTCTATATTCATGAAATAGTGCAATTAACCTGGATTAAACACATCGTGTAAATAACATGGATCACGTCCTCATTGCATCAGGTCTTAAATATGAATTATTCAACCAGAAAATCCCTCTGCACACTGTAACACTTAGAATCACATGGCAGTACTGTACTTGTAATGTAGAGGAAAGATATGTAGGTTTATCAATTACTAATTAATAACAATAATCCCTAATGAATAAGAAAATACATTTTCTGGGTACAAAAAGTATACTTTATATTTATCACTCAGATTAATAATTTTTAAAAAGAATAAATAAGCAAAACATTAAATAGATTGGGTCCAGATTCCTGGAAATTATGCCATTTTCGCTATAGTCTTAGTCTAATGTATAGACTCACACATATTTACCATAAACCAGGTCAAAATATTTACATTGTGACAGGTGAAAGGCAAATCTTATACCATAATTTTATAAGCCTTACATCTGAATGTTTCTTTAAAAGTCATACATGTATTAATATTTTCCCCCACACTACAAAGTAAAGAGATATCATATTACTGGTAGTTATGTAAGAAATAGAATTGTTACCAGAAAAAAACTTACATGTTACATTTAGGTATATTTTTAACAAATAAAATTTGTTATCAATAAATATATTCAAACAACTTCATAATTTTGATTTGTCATATATTTTATTCTGTGAGTTTCATATCATTATGTATCACTACTGCATATAAACAGTTAATTTACAATATTACATATAAAAATACATCTCCACATTACTTTGTATAGCCTCTGATATTTTATCGCTGCAATTTAAGGTCCATGATCCTTGCTCCTTCATATTGTTTATTTATTGAACTTTTAGATCTTTAGAGTAAATTGTTTGTTTCAGTTTTCCCCTGGGGTCATCTTTGGTCTGTAGATCCATTATAGTGTTATTGTAATACATTTGTCCCACTTCTTGGTTTGCTGCTGGTTGTTCTCTTGTATTTACTGTAGTCAACCACAGGAGGCGTTAGAGCCGGTGCCTCATTGTCCATCATCACAGTTTTTTGACGCTTAATCCAGTATTCAGTATTCCAGTAGAGATTTGAATCCATGCTTGTAGCTGTCAGGAGACCTATGGAACATAAAAAGCAGAGTTAGTGGTACTGAAAATTACCTCAAGTATCTTCTTTTATTTATTGACATCATACATTATTCTAGCAATCGTTGTTTTTTCTAGTAAAGTTTTATTTGTGCATGTTTGTGTGAAGAGTGCACTGCAAGAAATGTGATTACATTGCTCTCTTGTCGAGTCTGTAGTGAAACAGACTGAGTTAAATTAAAATAGACAACTTTGGGAAAATACGCAGAATATGCAAAATCACAAAAAAAAATAAATAAAATCTGCTCTAAATATTGGCAGATCTTATCAGCCATCACTTTATCTGGATTATAAACAATCCATAGCAGCATCAGTCATGAAAACAAACAAACAAAAACAAAAAACATATTGGTCAAACTAGTTTCAACAAGTGTAAAATAATAAATAATAAAAAACTGACTTTTTTTTTTTTGAAGAGTCATAACAAGTAAAAATTTAATCCTCATCACTGAAAGGAACATCGTGTGCATATATAATTGTAAAAAATAGTGGGGTGAATAATAACTTGCACCTTTTATGATAGCACTTTATAGTTACCTACAACTGCAGCAAGAGTTCGCTTTCTAAATTTACAAAGACATTGCTTATCCAATTTGGCCTTATTGGTTTGACACAGCCCCAGCTCTCTGTCAGTGGTGCGTTTAGGGACACCTTGGAGAAATGTCCTGGTCTGACTCTGACTGTTTTGGGATTCCAGGTGTAGTTGGACCCGAACAAGCATGAATAATTCAGAGTTTAGACAGTTGAATGTGACGACTGCTACTTTCACCTGAAGACAATTACACAGCGGCTCAAATGTCCACCAGGAGAAAGTTTGACCAGGAATCTCAAAGGACTGTCCTAGAACTGCAGTCTGAGGCAGCATGAGGATAGAATAGAATAACTGAAAGAAAATCAATTTAAATGCCCTGGGTAGAGTTGCCCCATAAGCAGTTGTTGTGTCCTTGGGCAAGACATTTCACCAGTTTTAATAGCATGCGACAGTGAGTGTGGTTTGTGGTTAGAGAGCTCTTTGGCACAGATTGGTAGCTACATAATGTGTCATTGAAACAGGAGTGAATGCAGTGCTGTAAGAGGCTTTAAAGAGGAGGTATTATACTGCTATGGGGAATTATTGTTTACATTAACACATAGCATATTTAGATTGCCACGTTACCTTTTAATTCTAAATGCTATATTTGCCCAAAACAGCTCCCTTTACTACCAGTGCACTCCTCCTTCATAGTGCCAACAAGTACTGCACATCACATAAGGTTTGTGAAGTCGTATCCTGCTTTTTTATATTTACAAAAATAGCCAGTAGGAACATTATGCTTGTGGGCTGAGCTTTGGACAGGATCATACTGCTTAAAGGGACAGTTTGGAATTTTGGACATAGGACCTCATTTCCTAGTGAGTGCTGGAGATGTGCGGAGACACTTTTGTAAATATTCCATCCAGTCCTTGTATTTGCAGATGTCAATGGCCGTAGTTAGCCTGCCACTAAAAACAGTCTTACCCAATCCACAAAGCACCCGAAGCAAATCTGTTATTACGCCAGACTGTTAATGTGAATGTCTGTGTTGACAGAATAATGTTTGAAATAAAAATAACTTTGCATCGCATGAATTGTCGCATGTTGAGGGACTATTTTCTCAGCAGCAGCGGAATTTTAATTTGCTGGTAAAATAGGTGCTAGGTGATATCAGTCCGCCGCTACCGAGCTTTCTATCAGGAAATACAACGTGCTGCTGCTGCTCAGACATAAATCCTTCAAATGCAAGGATGGTTTTACTTCTCATATTATTCTATCAACACAGACATTCACATCGATAGTCTAGCGTTATAATTGTTTTGCCTCAGGTCTTTTGTGGAGTGGGTAAGACTATTTTTAGTGGCAGGATAACTATGCCCATTGACATGCACTAGCCTAGCACCAGTGACCTCTGCAAATACAAGGACTGGATGGAATATATTAAAATGTGTCTCCACACGTCTCCAACACTCTGGCTCTCTAGGAAATTAGGTCCTATGTCCAAAATTCTGGACTGTCCCTCTAGTCGTAAGGAAGGTTCAAAAAATGCTCAAGATTACTCAAAACACAGATGACATATGAAACCACTTCAGGTATATTTTTGATGAAGAAATAGTGTTATAACATGGTAGAAAGCACTTGATTTTGCATAATATGTGTTTAAAAGACACAACAAAAATCTAAGTCATTCCTACTAGTATTAAACTAATCTGAGGTGCAATTTCACAGAGAGACCACCATTCAAGACATTTATATCTATTTCTTTCAAGAATATGCAAATTATTTGGGTCCCTCATTTGTATTTAAATCCATAGCTTGCAACTGCAGAAGCAAAAAATATACAAAAGAAAATTAAAAGTTGTTCACATAAATTAATTCTCTATCAGCAATGTCATTTCATTCAACCACAAATGGAGTGAGAAAAAAGTAAATTTTACTTTACTATTTCCTCCTTCATTGTTCAACTGTCAGCCTGCTCAGACATCCTTTTCTCTCTAGACTCTGCACGTCGAGTTATAAAATATGGTGCTTGAGTACATCCTCGCTTTTGAATAAACTGCCATTGATAGGTCAGTTATGATGACATATACTGTACATTGACATTGCTACAAAATGCCTTATTTGACACTAGTCTCTTGCAACTTTCCTGGAAGTCATTGCATGGATCGACAAAGCCTGGACTTCAGTGACAATCAAAGTTGCACGGAGTTACTCACAACTGACACCGAGGATGAAGAATTCAAGATCAAGACAGAGAGTTTGGTAAACTTATGTTATGTTGTTTATCCTATAGTTATCTGAACTGTTCATACGTGACGTTAACATACTAAAAGCCTATTCAGCCTGTTGTTCTTTATTCTATTGTTATTACTATAACTTGCCTTTCAAGATGAAATTTCAGTTCCTGGTCTCTGATTTTATAAAATAAATTGTCCCCAAAAAGTGCGATTTATAGTCCGAAAAATATGGTATGTCTAATTTCACTCCAATTTGTAACAAGTGCAGGTAGAAAGTAACTATTTACCTACACAGTTAATAGCAGTGCTGAAATTATTCTAATATCAACACAAGTTGCAATGTGAATAAGGAATGTATGTGCTTGGACTAATTGTTTCACACAGGTGGCTCTAGATGTTATAAATTTCCATATTATTCTGTGTATTTGTGTAGTGCTTTGGTTGGCTCTGTCCTGAACACCTGTGCTGGGGTGTAAAACTGTCCCGTTGGGGAGCAGGCACAGTGGCAGGTGGTTCAGTACACCCCCCTTCCTGTAATTGATCCCATTGGGCCATAAGACTTAAGCAACAGCCAATCAGAGCACAGAAATAAAGTGAAGCTGCACCTGCTTCAATTTTACTTTTCAAATCAGTCATACTTCATTGACAGGTATATAAAAATAATCAATTGTGGGATTTTTTTCCCCACATATTTTGGAAAATACCAGAATCCAGTTTTCAGAACATGTTTGTATGAGACTTAAACTTGAGGAGTTTTATTTAGTTTATTTTTTTTGTTTAATAAAACCAGAATATTTTGTGGTTTACAGAGAACATTTTATTACCTAGAAAAATTGCAGGCATTATGGTTTGATGATTGGAACAATTGAAATAGCAATTTTGATTTGATTATGATTCATTGTCCAAAAAAGTGTCTAAAATAACATGACTACCTTTACCTTTTCAATTTTTTGCATAAATGTTTTAAATATGTCAAGTGTTGGTTTGAGCAATGTGTTGTTGTTGTTGTTGTTGTTGTTGTTTTGTTTGTTTGTTTGTTTGTATATTTTTTTGTCTTTTCAAATGTTGAAACTACTTATTGTAAGTGTTTGAGAGAGGGAATTCAACTGTTCTATAACATTTATGCATTTTGTCTAATATACAATAATCAAAAGTAACCTGATTTTAAAGGTCCTACATTATGCAAACTGGACTCTTGTGAGGTTTAAGCCATGTTAGAACATTATTACTGCCTCAAAATCATACCTGGAGCTGATTCATTGACACATGTTTGAGTAACCATTTATTATTAGTCTGTTTTCATCTCCAGAGCTCAAAATGCTCTGTTCCACCTTGTGATGTCATGAAGCAATAATTTTCACATGAACAGCTACAGTTTACCTATAGTTCAGCAGAGATGGGCAATTCCAGGGCAGAAGCTTAAAATGATTCTAGTGAAGGTGTATGGAGCATGAAAAAACTGTGAAGCACTTTCTGTATTACCACATGACATCACAAGGTGGAACAGAGAGTTTTCTGTTTGAGAGAAGAACTAAATATTGTGTGTTAAATCTGTGTGAATACAACAAAACACAACTCCGGGTGTGTTTGTGATGAGGAATCAACATTAGAAAACAGAACAGAAAACAACGTAACATGGGCCCTTTAAGTTTCTATTTGTGTGTCATCTTAACCCCTGAAGTTTTTCTCCCAATAGCGATTCCTTTTTCTCCTTCTCGCTCAGCTCCTGCATTCCATCACTCGGGGCTGTTTTGCATAGCTTTACATTGACAAATAGGAAAACAGGAGAACAAATCACTGCTGGTTCAATTTCAGAGCAAGGCGCCGGTGTTGTCCTTGGAGACGGTCAGGGACAAACTCGTAGCTCTGAGGTACAAGCGAGTGGATGTAAATACACAGGAACATTTGGGAAATAGCTTTAGAATGCTTGGATTGTGGTACTTTGTTTTCTGGTCAGGAGGGGAGAGTAGGCGTGATTTCAGGCTTTCATTAAGATCTGAGGAATTTATACTTTTGTATTATTTTACTTTAGAGCTACAATGAGATATGTGTTTGTGGGTGTTTTTTTGGAGAGTGGGGTGAGAGTGAATCTTTTTAAAGGTGTAGCTTTTCTGGTGGAGGGTCCTAAATGTAATCGCTTTGCCTGGAATGTTCCACAGAATGCCATTAATTATCTGTAAATATCTGTGAGAAGACAAATAGATGATGCAACCAGGACAAGTTAGATCTGTGGAGAGGCAAGCCTGCTCACAGTAAGAGTATACTGTATGTTCCCTGTTATCCTGTCTCAGTATATTTTAATAAATTATTTAACATTTATTTCATACTTTGTCATATTGTCAAATTGTGTAATACATAATAAAACACACAGCTATGTGCATATCTATATCAAGTATCTGCTTAGTCACCTGGTCAATTAAATTTGTTGATAAATTATATTTAATTGTTTTAACCAATGCAACAGCAACTTGATAAAACCATGAATAACTATTGCTTTCTATTTATGGTCCACTGTGCACCTTTTTTTTTACACAGAGTCTGTCAAATGTTATTGCTTGCCTCTTTATATAAAAAATTCAATTCCATACTGTGAAACATTCCAACAAAAGACCTTTACGCAAATAACTGCCCTTTAAAGCAAGTGTTTTGGTGCATTTTGCCTCTCACCGTGGTGGTCTTGACCCGTCCTCCAGGCTGAGTACAGGTCCAGCCTGAGTTGTTGAACAGGAGACCACAGTCCTCATGGTCCAGACAGGGAGACATGTCACACCACTGCCGAGTCCGCACGATCCGCACTGAGGGAATTATGGGAGAGGAGGTTAGAATCAGATGATGGGACAAAATGTTATTAAGTATAGAGGGTGGATATGAGCCAAGGGTGTGAATATTACATAAGTAGTTATAGTTGTGTAGTAAAGTCTTTTTCTGCGTTGCAAGATTATTCTGGATTAATTAAATCCAAATTGCAATGTCACTAGATACAATTATAGCAATTATTTAGGCCAGTGGGTAGAAACATTTTCACACCAAGTACCACCACCTAAGAAAATATTTTGGCTTTCAATTTAGTACCATCTATAACATGACTACAACAAGGCTAAATGAATACTAAATCAGGTCTAAAACAAGACCACTAACTACTAAATTATGTTCATACGAGAACTGAAGAGAAGTCTGTGTACCATCAAAACAAGCTCATATACCACAGTTTGAGAAAGACCTGTCTCTCCATGGGTCAGTATTATGAATAAAATATACTAGAAAGTTTAGATGTCTACAATCATCTTATGAAATACAGGGTTGTTTTAGTTTGGCAGTTCATATTTCAGTCTTCTTTCAAATGTTAATGCTACTGGACACATTTAAACAGTTAATTGTGAGTCCAATCTTGATTTTCAAACATATGTCACAAATGTAATTGATTTTATTTATTTTATTTTTTTAGGTTAGAATTTTCAATAACATTCAGTTCTACTTTTAGAGTTCCACATGAGTCTGTAGTGAAATTACTTATGGTTAAGGCTTTACGGTCTTCATGGTCAGAACTTGACCTAGTTGGTTAACACAGAGTTTAGAGATGGTTTGATCCAGATTTAGGTCTATAGTAGCGTACTTTTAGATCTGGTTTCGTCAAGGATCAGTCCTGGCCTTGTGTACTATAATGTTATTTTGAGAGGCAAATATGGTAGGTTGCACTCGCTGTGAAAAGTTGACTGTAAAAAGCATCAGTTTATGTAATATTTACAGCTTGACAAAAAAAAAAATTAAATACAATTGAAACATCTGGTTGCTAGATTAGAACAATCAGGAACTTAAACTATAATATTTATGCATGCATTTTTAAAGTACTTATTAGTTGTCTTTCTCATGCATCACAAATGTTAATTTAAGCACTGTATTTTAGCACATTATTACAAGTGCCAATAAATCTATACTTGTGTTGTTTTTCTCACTCTTTCCTGACCTCATGCACTGTTTTCCTCCCACACACTAATTATAGCCATGTTTTCCTTCCAAATCTGTAAAGCCTGCATGTTTTCCCTTGGCACCAAATTCCCAAATGATCCTCAGCAACTGTTACACAAAGGTCAAAGTTCAGCATCTGATTATTGTGTTGTAACAAACTCAATAAAAAAGCTGTTGTAAATGGAGCAACATCTGTCAGGTTTTAGGCCTATTTTCATCAGAGCAAAAATTGGAAAAAACAAATTGAGTAATCCCACATTTAATTGTACCTGTAGGAAAATTTGCATTTGACCCATCCTTCAGTGCAGAAGTGGGTGTCACAGCGTCTGAGGACCATCTCCAGATCTTGAGATATTCGCTTAGTCAGGATTAGCTGGAGGAGTTTCATTCTTTTTTGCTTTGAGAATTTTGAGGCTAGGGATAGAAATTTGGACACAACTCTGCCTTACATATTTACATATCACTTTAGTTCTAGCTACTAGAGTCTAGTTGGATGATTAGCCTAAAGTGAGATTAAACACCTAAACTCCGCTCCACTGCTGGAAATTGCAGGGGCCACTGAATGTGGCACAAACTTAGATTTAGGCATTTTGTTATTAGAAAGCTGCAAAGCTGCTTCCTATTTGCCAAAGTTGCCAAAAATAACTAGAAACAGTAAATAATGCTATTAAAGAAAACCATATACACACTTTAGTGGCAAAAAAGTGGGTTTAGTGTTTAGTTCCACTTTGAGCATAAGATTATAAGATTGTAAAGTTTGAATCTAAAATGTGTAATTCTTCTCTCTCCACATCTGTTTGTTTTGCCTGGTCTCGTGGGCTCTCTTGGGACTCGCTGCCTCTCGCTCTCATCTCTATGATGAATGCAACGATTACAAGATGGCCGCCGCTGGTCGTGGATAAATGGGGCGTGCTGAGCGGTCGATCTGTGGACGCGGCGTGATACATCAGAGCTCGCAGGTGTGCTCCGCTCCTGCTTCAGATTAATACAGTGACGCTTCGTTAATGTGGACGACTCTTTTCTAAATTTAACGGCTCACCAAAAAACTGGAAATGCCGCCATCTATCCTCAAATCTGACTGGGCGATGAGGTGCAGGTGAGAGGGTTTAAATGAGACCAAAGAGAAAGAGCTGTGCAAGATTAATGCTATGTTTTTGTTTAATAGCAAAAATTCTGTAACTAAAACATTTGTCCAGTTGACAGAATACAATTTTTCTGTTGCTGTGGATCATACATGAATGACTGAGAGATTATGCAAACATTTTTGTTTAATAAGAAGTTATGAAACAAGTTATATGGAGTTATGAAACTTTAACTTTTTAAACTTCAGATTTATGACTATCAGTACAAAAATATATTACAAAATATTAATGTTAAGTCAGTTTAACAGGTTTTCCTTAATTACTTTTGACTTATGTTCATTTATGTTTTAGCATATGTATTGTATGACAGCGATTATACCAAAACACAATATGTGAACTTGAATGTTATATATATAATTTGGTTACACTTCCACTTACTCAAGTAGCTTTAATTCATGATGAACAAATAGTTTATTAAAAAAAAGATTCAGGCTTAGTAAATACTTGATTAAGGAGTTAGGGTAACAGCTACTAAACCAAAATCATTCTTAATAAACTATATTTTTCATTATACTTTATTAAGGCCAATTAGGTGTAGTTATTATGAAGTGTTATCTATAATTGTCCCTATTATTACAGATATACCTGCATCCTATAGTGCCAAATATTTTGAAGTACAATTCCTCAAGAAGCAACACTTACATATACAGTAACTTTTCATTTGTATTTTCTCTATAGGTTTTGTGGTTCCCTTTGAATCTGCTTAACCAAACACACTGTCACTCTGCAGGTCTCTCACCGTCCACACAGGCGGGCTGGGCTCTGGTGGTCCCGGCGATCTGCCCCCTCCTGCAGGCACAGCGGGCAGTCTGCCGGGCGATTGTGGTCCTCGGCTGACTGCTGTCCCGGTCCAGAGTCACCACCTCACAAGAACCCGCCGACAGCTGACCTATGGGACACATGTGAAGGTAGTCTTACAATCGCCCTTATGTAATAGATCAATCAATCAGTATTTCATCATTGCACTGTTTTACTTGTACGATTACATTTATATAATTTTGCCTTATTTGACATCAGTCTCTTATTTTTTACTGTAACCTATTTTTGCCCATTGTTATTTTATTATATTGTGATATGTGAGCAATTGTGTTAAAATTATTTTCCTTGTGTATCAATAAAGTTTGTGCAATGTAAAAATGCAATATACAAGTAGGCCTGCCACGATAATTACTATATCGACTTATCTTTCAATATATGAAAGCTGGAACAATATATTTTGGGACTCAGTTTTTATTGTGTTTACAATTTTTTTGCAAAAATTGGGAGACTTTTGTTATTTTTCTTGTAATGCAAAAAGATTTGAGCTATAGAGGGCTAAAAAAAGTCACTTCTATGGCTAATTATTCCATCATTCTGCTATTTATCTGTTGCAGCTCATGTCTTTTAATGATACTGTCTATTTAAATATGTTTTCTTCTTCTTTCATTATCGTAAATAGTCAGTGGCACAAAATAGTTTCAATATTATCATTAATCGCAATATATCTCTGTAGCAATTTGTTATCATGACAGGCCTATATACAAGCAAAGAAAAAGTTATAAAATTGAAAAACAAAAGAGTTGAAACTAGGCCTGGATATTTACTTGAGGCCAGAACACTATGCATGCATCTAAATGTAAAGTGTAAGTAAAGGTGGTGGTTGGAGTAACTGATGGTGCGTTCTGGCAGCCCTGCTTCTGTCAGTCTACCCCAGGGCTGCTGTGGCTACAGAAGTTACCACCAGATATGAAGAGAATGAATGATGCAATAGAGTGCCTTTGCATATCCATACAGCTCTGAATAAACTGAAAGCATTATTATTACAACAGAGGCAATTTTCATTTTGTAACAGTTTACCGAGAGCAATAATTTTCAAGCACAGATATAGAATGGGCCTACATCCATCTCCACACATAATAAAAACAAACAGCTAGTGTATGTATTGTATTATGTAATGTATTTATTTATTTATTGTGTAATGTATTTATTTATTTATTTATTTTTAGATACAATTAAAATCAGCAGGCCAGAATGCTCGATCTCGTCTGATCTTACGAGATCACTATAAATATCAGATGCTGTAGTGGGATGGCAATATTTCAGTGCATACTGCAATTGTGTCCTTGGGCAAAACACTTCACCCAATCTGCCTCCAAGTGCACTGGTGAATGAGAGTGTGTTTGTGAGAATGAAAGTGGGACACTGGAAATGAGCCCAGTGCTGATATCCAGCATGTTTACAGCATGTATAGCATGTAGTCAGAGTTTATTACCATGCACTGTTCTGACCATATATATATATATATATATGCCATTGTAATTAACAATTAAAAATATTATGTATTTTGAATGGTCAACCACGAGTCAAAATGGCACAGGAAGCTGAACCCCATGAACTGGGAATTCCCCGCCTTAAACAAAAATATATGTAACATTCAACAATTGTGGATATTGTGTTTGGTTAATCTCTTTCAAATGCCAATCATCTGAAATTTAAAAATCAAACTCTATAATCTCCTACATGCAATGTCACTTTTGTTGCCTGTTAATCTAAAGAGTTGATCTGAAGCTGGAGATAAAATTCAGGTCTGAGTTTGTCGTCATGGAAACACAGGACACACCCCTTGAATACTAATGAGGTGCTTCAATGGAGCTTTGGAAATCCTGCCGCTCGCACATCTGAGATTTTTAAAAGAGTTTACAGGAATAAGAGGGGCCACTGGGGTCAAGGCCCGGTCCAAGATCTGTGCAGCACTTCAACAGCTTTGTTATTTATTCTGGACAATCTAAAACACATCTATTTCCCATGTTTCTCTAGACTCTGCATGGGATTTGTAGGCAATTTATTGTATTGTCTACTGGTTTAATTCTTCAGTTCTAAATAAAAAAAACAAAAAAATAAAACGTAAATAAAATAAATAAATGTTCCAACTTGTTTATCAATGTTGATAAACATGTTGAGAGCCAGGCGGCTATGTAATAAAAAGCTTTTATTGCATAAGCTTAGTTGCAAGTGTAGATTCAAAACGATTACAATTTCAACCCGCTGGGACTTATGCATCTTTTTACACAGACAAACCAAAATCTGCATGTCTAACTATACATTTTATATACAAAACTATACAAAAATAAAGCCTACTGTGGAATAAATGTGTTGACTAGCTGGCTAGCTGGAATGAACCACGACCTCAGAACAGTATCTCACTGCATTTGGTCCCCAAAGAGTTCAACCAGGTCCTTTAGAGGTTCAGTGCCACGTTTGAGTTGATACAGAAATTTGTGTTCTGTGCAGCAGGTTACAAACTTTCTGCAAGAAAAATGTACTAATGAGGACGAATAGGTCTATGTTTTTGTATGTATAATATATATGTCTAAGTTTAACCTATGTTCTCTATACCTGTTTTAGTTGTAAAAGGCCAATTACAGGAGCATACTGTCCATGAAGTGTCCATGCAAAGTTGGCAATGATATAGCAGGAAAAAAATAAAGAAAAAAATAAATAAAATCTCATATCAGTAGTCATAGCAAACCCCCTTGATGCAAACCCAAATCTTTGGGCAACAACTGTGGGCTAATAGCTTTAATAAAATAAAATGTTTCCATGCGTAAAAGTAGTGGTAGAATATGACCACGTGTAGCCAAAATTAAACATTGGCACTCGCCTGTAGCCTACCTTCTCTGAGCATGTGGTTGTGCAGCAGCAGCAGGAGCAGCAGCGCACAGACCGCCGCGGCAGTCAGACCCCACAGCGGCCGGACACACTGCATCAGGACCCGCCACGACCTGCGCTCTCCTCGGCTACAAGTCCCACTCACTGCGCCCGGGATGGAGCTGGTGGAAGGTGATACACATGCAACATCTCCCGATAAAACTCCCCCCAAACTCAACTAAAACTTATAAAAATCCCCAAACTATCTTCTCCAGCTTTAAGTCTCCGTTCCGTGGTCACAGTTCTCTGCGTCTCGGATCCATCGCGACTCCACTGTTGCGCGCAAATCCGTTCAAACGAGGTCGAAGTGACACCGGCCAGAGCTGGGGCTGCTGTCCGGGCATGGTGCAGCTTAGGCCGGCTGGATGGTCTCTCTGTGGCCGCTGACAGCTGCTGGAGGAGACGGAGGAGGAGAGAAAGTTGTTGTCTCCTCCAGTGAAGCGCAGTGAATGTACAGAGTATTCACTAGACTGGCTTGGCGTTTCAGTCTGTCTCTCTTCTCTTGACGCTCTCTCTCTCTTTGCGTAAAACCAACGTGAGTTTAGAGACACACATACCATATGGAGTGACTGACTATAGGGATTGGCTAATAAATTACATATCAGCTCAAAGATTTGAATTATGGATATCCAAGTGTTTTTCAAAATGTTACAGTAACTTCGTCCAGTCGTGGTTGCAACAGTTAATGAGTTTCTGGATAGACGCACGTCAGTAAGGTCTAAATGTGTTAAAATTATTCTGTTTTTTTATTTTCAAGATTTTCCGTCCCAAAGACAGGACAGCTCAAGTGTGAAGTGAGGAGAGAGTGGGGAAAGACATTCGAAAGATGGTCACAGCTGGAGGCAAACCTATGGAGAGGATACCAGATTAAACCACTGCACAATTCTGATCTATTTTTATGTGTTTCTCACAACAAGATAGCTGTGGGTTTAGGTGCTGGAAATTGGTTCATATCCCAGGAGAATTTATGTAAAAAGAGAGACATCAATTTCCTTTATAAAATATAGAAAACAAACGTGTTAAAATGTTTCCAACAACTGCACACACCTGCAAATCCTGGCTATCGTTTGAGCTAGTCCAGGTTTAGCTCCAGGTTTAAGCCCTGGCAGTTTAGTTTTAATTGTGATATGGTGTGTGGGCAAATGTGAATGTACCTCCTGATTCTCTATGATGAAACAAACCCCCAAAACCCATAGGAAGTAGCAGTATACAGAGGAGTATCCAAACATTGTACTTAGGGTTATGGTTACTTCAGAATAATGTTACTCAATACAAATACAAAGTTGTCCAAGTCCAAGAAATTACTCAAGTATCTGGGGAAGCTTCTACTATGTAATCAAAAGGACAAACCCTTAAAGGATGCAAAATCAGCTACCTTCAAAGTATAAACCAAAATGAGAAAACCTATCTGAAGGGGCAGTGCAGGAAACATAACGTTCAAATCATTTAATATTGTCAACATAAAAATTACTCACTTGCAGACTTACTCCCAGCGGGAAGACACAAGAGTACTGTTTCAAACATGAAAGTAGGAGTAAAAGTATACTGTCTGAAAAGTATACTCTATCACACTTTTGCAAATCAATGTAACTCAATTAATGTCAATGAGTACTACCCACCTCTGATGTCCCGCTCAAAAACATGCTGTCTCAATTACAGTCTGTAATTTTCTCAATTGGGGCCAATAAAACTGAGCTAAGCCACTGGTCAATTTTAATTAACCACAATAACACAAGATAAAGTGGCCGGTCTTCTTTTACAACCAGAAAACCAATAGTAATTTTAGTGCATAATCCTGGGTTGTTTATTTTAGGTCAGCTGTATTGGAAGGGGAGTATATTTTAGTCAGAGCATCCTAAACTTTTATGAGACCACCGGTGAATTTAATTTTGGCTGTCCATCTTTTCCTTACTGTGAATCCAATACTATTGACGAGTGAATGTTTAAAGCACAAATTTAAAATAAACACGCTGTAAATTATGTCAGAAGTGCTCATTTAGCAAGTTTTGGGCTTTTACAAGGCTTTCATATTTCTCTGAGGAATTATCCCCCCACACACATTTCATTGATTCAGTATTGTCAATGTATCTGGGCAAGACATTTAAAATAATAGACACATTTTGGTTAGAAAAAAAGATACATGAACTTTTCAGAGCAGAGTTTGCATGTTCTGCCTGAGTTTCTCTCTCGATAGCATAACTCCGCTAAGATATTAGTCTGTTTACAGCCCCAAAGCTCAAAATGCTCAACTCTGTCATATCATGTAGTGGGAATTTTCAAGTTAACAGGGTCCAGGGTTAAAATCATCCACATTCTAGTGAAGATGTACGGAGTTTAAAAACACAGTGGAGCACTTCATGTATTACTACATGACATCACAAGCTGGAACAGAGTGTTTTCTGTTAGAGAGATGACCTCCGTCTAAATATGCAGGACTTGTGTGTTAAACATGTGAATGAAACAAAACACAACTCCAGGTATATTTTTAATGAGGAAACATTATAATATAGATCAGAAAATAACTTTAATTGTGTTTAATTGTGCAGCCCCAATGGAACAAGTCATGAGTCAAATAACTTTTTGACTTTTCCATTTATAATTTTGACCATGATCATTCCAGCCTCCTCTTCTCACCTTGACCGACGTTGATAATAACTCAATATCTCTGTTGTTTCTGTTGAACTGTGTGAATGCCCAAACCTCCCCTGGACCCATCAAACTTAAGTCCCCACTGCTTTTGTCCTGCCAGTGTGTTTGCGTCCGTGTCTCTGCAGCCCAGACTCTTGATGGAGGAAGATGGAAATATAATCGATGAGAAAGAACCACAATAATAAAATGTTGTGTTTGGACCAAAGAGAGGTGCCCAGGTTTCGTGTGACATTTAAGGACAGCAGATGGACAGGAGGAGAGGGCTGGTGTAAGAGTGTCTAGATGTTATAGTCTACCTCAGACCTCTTCAATTCAAAATGATGGATGGGGTGAGCAGAGCTGTCACAGTGCAACAATTTGTAAACAGAATGAAGAATCTAAAATCCAGTCTACTAAGAGTCTAAAATCTACACCCTGCTTTTTTCATGAAGATGTTATTGTGTTCCCTATAATTTTCCAGAGTATAGCATAAATGTGTCTGTCTTATTTTTATTCAAGTACAAGTGTTTTATTGATCAAAATACCCAGAAAAACATGCATTCATGAAATGGCTTGAAACTTGGCTGCAGGTGTGACTTGCTCGCCTCTGTGGAGATAGATAATTCAATGCCCTGCTGTGGAACATTCCAGGCAAAGCAATAAAATCTCCATGGTGACAAGCAGTTTCCTCCAGAAAAGTTATATAGTGCACTTTCAAATTATGAATTTCAAAAGGTTTTACAAAAATTAATCACATTGTCATTCCACTTCCAGAATTTAAATAGTTTCTTATTTAAAAAAAAAAAGTGTGTGGCTAGCCCCCTGTTTCTGGAGTCCGTATGAGAGTGGGCACAACAAAATGAAGTAAAACATTGCTTGCCACTGACCACTCATCTGTCTTAAAAGATAGGCTCACTACAGTTCACCTCACTTGACCTTTTGACCCCTGCATAGATGAGACTCTTCGGTTCATTTGGTTTGTTGTACAGCGCACTTCCTCAGAGGTCAAAGGTTAACAGAATGAATTGTTTAATGATCAGCGTCAGTTCATGGGACACTGGTCACTGATTGGGTGAGTGTCTCCAAAGGCTAATTAGCAACAACAGCAACTTTTTAATGACCTGCTTTTTAACACTCCACTCTCTGGATCCTTGGGCACTGCAGTGAGTAGATAACCATGTCAAGTGATCAGGTAAAGTGGGTGAAAAACTACCTATTTTCTATTATTATCTTTTTTTAACATATGACAATTGCTCCTTTGAGTTTCATGACAAGAAATTCAGTTAGGCCTATAGTTTGATGATATATTAGCTACAAAGGATGGGGAAAAATGCTATTTTCTAGCCACAAATTTGTATTTGAGTTTCACAAATCAGCAGGCTTTCTGTATAATGCCTATTTGTTCATTAAAACCTAAAACTCAGGATGTTGCCTTTATCAAAATGCCAAGTATATAACATTATCCCCAATTAAATAAACAAATCATGTAAAATAAAATTATCAAAACTGGACTCACTTTTGTAGGCTCTAAGGGAATAGTCAATTTCCAATCATTATATGTATTTTGTGATATTCTGTGGTTAATCCCAATTTCTCTATTAAAATTGCATTTTGTTCCATTTTTTCCTCCAGTTGCCTCCATTTCGAAATTTGGGTCTATATGATTAGGTCTATACTCTTTTACAATAATTTACCAAAAAACTTTTACCAAATATTGGCGTCCCTTATTGCTAAAATGCATACGTAGCCTACTGGTTTGTATTTGTGTGAAAACAGCGCCCTCTGTTGATAGCAGTGAGATATTGAACGAGTTACCACGTTTACAACCCTAAATGTATTTTGGGGTAACTATTCGCATGCCTTTCTATGTCTGACTAGATGGTGTTTTTGAAAGATGATTATATCCTTCAACGTAGAAAAATACCTTGAAAAAACAGAGGATTATGTAGACTCATGCGTAAGAGCTTTGTGACGCATTCAAGTGCAGGGTAAAACATAGGGCATTTGATGAACTGAAAACCGAAACATCACACTGTACTGCTCTAGCCTATGCAGAAAAAAACGTTTTACAGAAGAAAACACTATTAAAGCATTTAAAAGCCATGGGTAAATTATAAGATACTACCCATCGCTGAATTTCAGATTATTTAAGTACCTACATGACATATGACATGCCTGTTAAAATCATGTTAAAATCATGTTAATATGCGTGTTATTAAAATGAAGACGGCTCTGATGGATAAACCTATGTAATATGGTGTAATACAATGTGATATGTAATAATGTCGTTATTATATTTGCTTACAGATAGTTAACAACTAATAAAATGCCAATACAACGATGTCCATTTCAGTTGCCATTTACATGAAACTTGTCTACGTTCCCAAATTGGAGTCCAAACTGTCTGGTGTCTAATTCGGTCAAATAAAATGTAATAACAGAATAACAAAGCGACTCCACGGTCCTTGTTACTGACAAAATGCTAGACTTTTCCGTAGTCTAATTCAGATTTCCCCACGGTCACTGCGGCACCACAATGCGCCTGTAGCCCCCTCCTACTTCCGCCAGCAGTCCGCTATTTGTCAGTAAAAAGAAAAGCTGAAATCCGCTACTCGCCGATCCACGATTTACCTGCTTCTATTATCAATTATTCACGGTCTGGAGGCGATCCGGACCTACAGAGCTATCATGTCCGCACTCAGGTAACCTTCCCCCAGGCTGCTGCTGCTGTCGCCTCCTCCTCCGGATGAAGGATGGAGAGGCCGAGCAGGCTGCTGCTGTTGTCCGAACTTCGCGTCAGAAACACGGCTTACGAAGTGAGCCTGAGCCGGTCCTTGCTCACCTGGAAAAAACAGGCTTCTAGTCCTGTCTATCATCCGTTTAAACCAAGTAAGATCCTTTTGACAATTACAATACATTTTGAATATTTATTTACAATTATACTTTTTTTGTTTTTTGTTTTTTGTTGGTTATCTTTAGCTATCCTTTGCATATTGCTTTAGGCCACAGTGCCACACAGAGGGCACTGAGGACAACGTAGATGATTCACAATTTCAAAGTAAATTTTAAACTTTCTAAAAACATGTTTACAGGTTAACAGTGCATGATAAGCACAGTCTGCATGAAAACCCAGCGACAGCCTCAACCCCTTACATAATCCAGTGAAGTACTCATTTTATATAAGCAACAATAGGCTACCAATTTATCAATTTGCAGACTTTATTGTTATTGGAATCCATTATATTCTGCTTCCTGGGGTCCAAATAGAAATACTATTTACAATTTAAACATCACATACCCTGTACATGTGCATAAATGAGTTTGTACAACGCAGCACAGTCCTTGTACATAAACGCTATACATTATAACTCATATCTAAAAGAATTCATACAATGTACATCTGACACAAAAGATGTTCAGAGCACTAATATGACAAAAAGGCAATTTCTAGCACTGATACTGTACTACAAGGCAACATGTCTCTTTGGTATCTTCTTGCAATATTCATTATATGGGTAGCTTGTTCCACAGCATTATGAGTGTACAGGGCTGTGAGATAAAGGAACTATACATTGTTTTTGTTCCGAGTAGGTCTATCTAATCTATGGGGAGAGATAAGTCATTCACTGCTGCAGGCGTTGTGTTGCATATGGCTGCTAAATGGACCATAGTAAACAAAAGGGGGAAAAAAAAGTTCAAATAGTGCATATTGTCTTCAAAGCTTTTTACTTTGCACTCATGTTAGACTTGGTTATTTGGTAAGACATATTTAAAGGTTGTTTTACTAATATTATAGCTAACCAAAGACGTTTTTTTTTTTTTTTTTTTTTTTTCATTTTTTACTTTACATAAATTGATCTATATTATAATGTTGTTTCCTCATCAAAATATGCCTGGAGTTGTTTTTTGTTTCATTCACACATGTTCAACACACAGCTAAAGATGAAAGGAAATTGTTAACATGAAGGTTACAGCTCATACATCACATGGTAGAACAGAGCTTTGGAGATGTTGACAGATTAATAAATCAGGTTTACCCGGACGTGTGATGAAACAAAACACACCTCCTGGTATGTTTTTGAGGAGGTAACAGCATTATAACATGGCTTAAAGCCCCCCAAAAATTCTGTAATATAGGACTTTTTAAAAAATTATATGCAGTATTTTAAAATTCTTGTTATCTCTTTTGGCCATAAAAATACTGAAACTTAACATTTTCCAACTTTTTTATCATTCAGTCTATTTAGTTGTTTCCCATTTACAGCATTATAAGTAAAATCTTGTGTCATTACTTGCCCTCATTGCTTTTCCAAAGTCTTAAGACAGGGCTGAAAAAAGTAAAATTATGTCTAGTTTCTTGGGTATTGTTTTTTGTAAAGAAAGCAGTTGATCCTCTGTTTTTAGAAGCCAATCTCTCACAGTAAGTGCCTTGATGGGAAGAGAGTGGAATTATAGTTTTCTCTGAAGGAGCCTGCCCTGTCTGCTGTTTGTTTTAGCCTCCACAGGGAAGAGAACAGCCAATCAGATTAGTGCATTTCAACCTCACTGTGTGCTCTAGGTACTTATTATGGGTGTATTTTAAAGGTTTATCGTACAGAGGAGATGTAGTTGCAAAAGTTACCAAAATCTCCTGTGCAATCATAGTCGTGTAGTCTTCTCAGACATCTGTTGAAACTTTATACAAGATTATTAAAAATCCAATATTTATTTGAAGAGAAAATAAGACATCGAGGTTTAAGTTTTTAAAAAATGTTCATGAAATACACTCTTTTTGCATACAAGCCCAGTAAGTATCACAGCTGCACAATTAAACTGAGCAATTCAACTGAAATTGCAATTATCAAATCTCAAAAGTTGTAATTATTCAGGTGGATAATAAGTAGGGAATGTCCTCTACCCAGTTTTTTATTGTAATAATGATAAACCTGAAATACTTTGGTTTCTTGTATTAATTTATCTATTTATTTTTCAGTCTTGTCTCATGTTTACACTCTTAGTAGTGTGTGTGTGTGTGTGTGTGTGTGTGTGTGTGTGTGTGTGTGTGTGTGTGTGTGTGTGTGTTGTGAAGTGAATTCTAATTTTTGAAATAATGAGATTCTAATTTGGAATTCATGATCTTAATTAATTTTTTTTCCTCGAAATCATGCAGTCCTAGTTCAGTAATCATAGACATATCATAGCATTTTCTTTACTATTATTATCTCAAGCATCATTTCTTCCCCTGTTACAAAAGAGCCTCGTGTTCTGCCAATGTCGTAACCAAAGAAGGTCATTTATTTTGGTTGATTTGTGTATTTTTAGCAGCATCTATTTATGACTGAAATCCCCCACAAGGTTTGTTCTTCCAGTTTTCTGACTCATGTTCTTTCTCTCTCAAGATCCATTTGGATAAATATATTTACAGATGAGGAAGCCTGCTTTACCATAGGCAGCCATTGTAAACACATGCAAACGTCCCATACTTCCTTTCTCTGCTGCTTTGTATATTCAAATAGTTGTTTTGTAGCAGAGCATGCCCTATTGTAACCTAGTGTTCTGCATTAAGATCACACATGAGCTACAATTACGTCAAGTAGAACAGAACAATGTTGATATTATTACAACTGTTACAAGTCACATATCTGATTTGTTATTATTACTTTACCTGGAATGTTACACAATATTGCATTAAACTAATTTATCTAGCATTTGTCCAGATCAGTTGCAGGTGTTATTATTCAGAAAAACATTCTTGCCTAATGGTGTTGCTTGTTAGTGATGCTTGTTAGGGTGATAGTTTAATGCCATAATGAGGAAAATTCCAGACAAAGCAATGACAACAAAATGGAGACAAGTGAGTGTCGGACCCTCCATCAGAAAAGTTACATGGTGCCTCTTTAAAGAATTCCACAAATCCTAAAATAATCATGTTTTTCTACTAAGCAATCCTTAACTGCCACAGGAATCTCCACAAAAAACAGTACAATTATATTCATATTTTATCCTTATGCCCTGAACAGTGTAGCTCTGACTTTTAGCTGCAGATCACTGACATCACACGCTCCTGTCTCCGTCTCATGTTTCAGAGACTCTTCACTTCCAACAGACTGAACCTGATCCTAGACTTAAGTGTCCCTTTAGGCCCCATATTCAATTACAACAGATATACCACCATGGTTCTTATCCAAAGACCTGCTATTGTCTGCTCTCTTCAAGTCTGCTTGACTTACTGATCACTCATGTTATTAAAATATTATGTCTGAAGAGCTGTAATGTGCGCAATAATGTATATATATTTTGGCAAGTACTTTTAGATTTGCGATAAATGTTTTAAAATTTTACATTAACATTTCACAGCACACTGAAATATGAGCTAATAAACGATAACAAGAATCCCATGTATTTCATGTTCCAACCCCATATAAGAACTATCTACAATTAATTGATTACAGTGTTTATGGCTTTCAGGTTCATCATCAAAACAAAAGCGGAATCCAGTATTTTTTTCTTCCTTTTTTTTCATTTGTTTCCTGTTTGCTGAGGTCTCATGATGGCTACCTCTGGTTCGTCTGGTATTAATATGAAGATCACACAGGGCCTCCAAATAATAATTTACATTACATTTAATAGAATATGTAAAGTTCTTTCCATAGAGTTGCATGTTAAACAATATATAATTAGGATTCTTGGCTTAATACCATGGTAATATAAAGCAATACATTTAAACTAATGTCTTATGTAAGGTTTTTGAACTTTAACTTTTTATGCTTGTTTTATGAACAACCTCTGGGGACCCCCTGCAATGCCTCTGAGGCCCACCGGGGGACACCACTTTGGGAACCACTGATATATTAAGTAGTTGTTGATGTGTGTTGCAGGTCTGTGTCGCAGCGTAGCGGTGTCTGAAATCGTCTCGGTTCGTGAGGAAGAGGAGAACAGCAGCAAAGACAATGGCAGCTGGAGGAAGATCAGAGAGAGACAGGAGAGGGATTGCAGGCAGGCCTTCACTGGTAAACCACATATAATACAGTAGTTATTACCTTTTGAATAGGTAGTAGGAGTACAATGCTGTGAGGTCCTTGGGCAAGACACTTAACGTGCTTTGCCTCCAGTGTCATTGTGTGTTTGAGTGAAAAAGCAGGTCAACAGGAAAGAACAGAAATGAGCCCTAAGCTACAATGCAGTGTGTTTACAATAATGCATTTTAGGTCTATTAACAAGCATTGCCCTAGCCAAATATCTCTGCACAGCTGTTTTTTACATTTTCACTGGTGATGCTTCCTGATGTGAAAAGTATTGTGTCTGTGTTGGTGTGTTCCAGTCTCGTATGTGGAGCGAGGGCGCAATCACCGCTGGCGGTGTGCAGAGGTCACTTTTGTCTGTCCCGACGCAGTTCTGTGTCAGCGCTGGGTCCTCAGCATCAGGGAGCAGCTGGCTGCCCTCAGTGCGTAAACATACTCCTACTCTCTGTTACTACTGTACACATCAAATCAACCTGAGTGCTCTAGTGTGTGGAAGGAATTTAATTCAAAGATATTATCAGAGTATACCAGTGTGCTCATATCTTTCATCATTCTTAGTAGTCTCTATTTAGAAATGCATGCTACTAATGCCCAGCCCTTTGTAACACGCTCCTCTTGGGCTGTACTAACACAGCTGTGAGTGCATGTACATAAGTCTGTGTGCTCTGTTGTTTGTCAAATACTGCCTAGTCTGATTGTATTGTGCTCCTGTCACAGGCTGCAGACCCAAACAGCTGCTCGTCTACATTAACCCTTATGGAGGGAAGAAACAGGGAAAACGCATTTATGAACAGAAGGTGGCGCCACTGTTTGCTCAGGCTGGGATCTCAACACAAGTCATTGGTAAAGTGTTTCTAAATTATTTAATTTGAAGTTTTTTGATTAATTGTAATACATGTGTTTTCTCACACCAGTGACGGAGTATGCCAACCATGCAAGGGATCATCTGAGGACTGACGCAGAACTAAAGCAGTTTGATGGGTCAGTTTCAAAGTCTCCATGTGGTCTATGTATAAAACCTGCTAACCCTTTAGTACAGACCTCTGTGAGCTTGTTCTAAGATGGTTGAGATTGCTTTATTAGTCCATATTTCAGTCAGTGCGCCTGGATTTGTTCATTATTTGCACCATGAGCTGAAGCGTAATTTTAAAAACACAAATCAGTTAACATCAATAACTGTTGGAATAAGTGCACTTTAATATTTTCCCTCATTTCTTTGTTCAGTGTTCACTAAAATACTGAAGTGTATGAAAATAAAATTAAAACAATTAACTAAACACGCATGTGTCTTTTGCAGCGTGGTGTGTGTGGGCGGAGACGGCATGTTCAGTGAGATCATCCATGGTTTGATCTGGAGGACACAGGTTGACAGTGGAGTGAACCCCAACAGCCCAGAGGAGGCGCTGCAGCCCTGTTCTCTGCGCATAGGCATCATACCTGCAGGTGTGAAAAACATGGGCAAAGTCTATTAGAAATATCAGTACACTGATGTCATGGAACAATTTACTGCTTTTATTTGTGTTGCTGATAATTGACAGTACAAAAGCATATTTTAAAAGGCTTTTTTAAGATTTATTAATCATTTTTTAAAAATTTTTTTATCTGTAAATTCTGTGATGTATTGTCAGTATTTATAAACTTAGATTACGTATTATACTACTTTTTTTTTGTTATTTTTAAAATATTTTTAGACTGTCTAGCAGTATTATAATCACTTCATGTTTGTTTGTTCATTCCAGGATCCACAGACTGTATCTGTTTTGCCACAGTGGGTACCAACGACCCCGTGACTTCTGCACTTCACATCATTGTGGGTCAGTAACAGTCTAAAACGTATACAACAACTTGATAGGGCTGTGCAATTATTCACATTTTGAACATGCTTGAAATCATTCAATAAGTGAATTAAACTGTCCTTAAAAATGAATCCTAAAACATAACTAGTTTATGATAATAAGGGATAATAGTAAGGCTGTACTTCTTCCATAGACTGATGAACAAAGTTAGCCTACAGAACTGTTTTTAACTCACAAAATATAGTAACACATTGTCCCTATTTTTGTCCTTTCTTGGCTGCCATTATTATTCTGTCCTTGGCTTTGTATTGATCATTTTGTTGTTTGTTTTTCCAGGGGACTCGCAGCCGATGGACGTGTGCTCTGTTCACCATAACGACATGTTCCTTAGATACTCCGTCTCTTTGCTCGGTTACGGTTTCTTTGGCGACGTGTTGAGTGACAGCGAGAGAAAGAGGTGGATGGGACCGACCCGATATGACTTCTCAGGTGAGCGAGTCAAACTCTGTCATTTGTAATAATGGGTTATAGCATTTCATATACTCATACTCATATATCTGTGAAGTAAAATTTTTTGCACTTTGGTCACTACTATTAAGATTACTTTAACTATATATCAGGATTGTGTCACACCTCAACAAGGACAGTTTTTATATTAAACAATAAGGGTTATAGAGATGTCATTGCCATTTCTGTTCTTGTTTTTGTTTCTTTGGATTTTTGATAATTTAAAAAAATGAGTATAACTGGTGTATTTTGGCTTGTTGAAATTAGCAATTTTTTAAAATCACAATACATATTAATTTGCCCTTCTTATAGGTCTGAAGATGTTTCTCACTCATCACTGTTATGAAGGAACTGTGTCCTATCTACCAGCCAAAGACATCATGGGAACTCCGCGGGACAAAGTCAGGTGTCGTTCTGGGTAAGGAATATTATTGGAGTAAATGTACGTGGTGTTTGTTTTTATGAGGTGCATTTCATAAATGTTTGTCTTAAATTTCAGCTGTGTGATCTGTGAACACAATGGACAGGTTTTTACACAGAAAGGTGAAAAGTACAAGCTGGATGAGTCCTTTGACACTGGTAAGATGCAACATCAATTCAAAAATTATTTAAAAAAATAATAATATGGAGTTTAATAATAACTGTGCTTACTGTATTGGTTTAAATGTCCTTTGTGGACTTAGCAATTAATCAGTTCAAATTAAAATGTTTTTTTTTTTTTTTTTCAATGGGGAAGTCCACAGAGTCCTTCAAATCAGGAAGGAATTATTTGTCTGAAACCTATGAATATGCTAAATATGTTTATGGTTTCAGATGTAGAATCTGGCAACCCAACATGCTTTCTGCTTTCTGGTTAGATTAACGCAGTGCTTCTCAAATAGTGGGGCGCGCCCCCGAGGCTCCGTCAAGGGGGGCGCGTTTGACCTCGGGGAGCATGCTTTTTTATTTTTTTATTTTGATTTTTTTTACTGTCTTAAGGGCCGTTCACACCAAAGCGTCAAAAAACGCCTTGACGTCTCTATTTGGAGCCTTTGCATTTGAGTTCAGACGCCCCCGACGCGCATCTTTGACGCCGTGGACGAACGGGACAAAAATACTTGACGCGCGTCCGTTGCCCTGGAAACAAGAGCCCGGTCCTGGACTTTTCCCGAAACAATGTCAGACCAGACTGAGAGACTTTAGTGTTTTTATGACATAAAACATCAGCGGAGGAGATCAGGTCAGCGACTGGGGCGTATATATATTTATACTCCGCTAATGACACTGGATCAGTCCCGGTCTAGTCCTGGTCTAATACCGGTCTGGTCCTGGTCTAATCACGGTCTAGTCCCGGTCTGGTCCCGGTCTAGTCCCGGTCTAGTCCGGTCTAATCAGGTCTAGTCCGGTCTAGTCCCGGTCTAGTCCTTGTTTAGTCTCGGTCTAGTCTCGGTCTAGTCTCGGTCTAGTCCTGGTTTGGTCCTGGTCCGGTCCTGGTGTAGTCCTCGCGATCGGCTCGGTGATTGTGATGTATATATTTATTCTCCGTTCATGTTTGTGGTTCTCGTTCTGGTTCTCGGGTCTTTCTTCCTGATAATAACGTCGCTGCGTCTCTGGATACTCGTCCCTGATTGGTTGACGCGGCGCGTCTGACGCGAAAAGTTCAGCATTTTCAACTTCTTGACGCTGACGCCTTGGACGCGCATCTTGGCCGCTGACGCCAAAACGCTGAAGACGCGCTGCGCTGACGCCAGACGCGCGCTGACGCCGAAAACGCGCCGCAAAAACGCAGGACGCTCTAGTCAAGCGTCCACATAGACTTACATAGAAAGTGGACGCTTTGACGCTTTGGTCTGAACGGGCCTTTAGAATAAAGTGCAATTGCACTTCCACTACATTAGGGGGCAGTGGCGCTCTCATTGGCATTCGCTCGGTGGTGTAGGAGTTTTGTTTGCACTGAGCATGCGCGCTTTGCACACAGCACAGAGTTTGAGTATGAAGTGTAGACACGAAGTGTAGCAGACCCTCAAGTGACACCATGAAAAAATATTTAACAGGGATGAGAAGACAGACGGAGAGAGACGGAGATAAAGAGACAAACGAAAATCTCCCAAAAGCTAAGACGAGGAAATATGACGAATGTAGCGCTTGGCTTCACTGTGACTACGGTGGGAGACGAGGAAAGACCGGTGTGCTTACTGTGTCTAAAAATTTGGCAGCCGACAGCATGCAATAAATTGTCACAATACATTCTGAGATGTTTTATTCGTCCTAGGGGGGGCATGACAGAAAATAATTGAGAAGCACTGGATTAATGAAATATGGATACAAACAAAATGTAAACATTATCATTTTTAAATCTTACAAAAATATTTATGTAATTGTGAACAAATCAACACAGTTGTTATCAGTAAAATCAGTATTTCATCTTAATGTTCACCTAATGTCTAGGAGCTATATTATTCATTCTACAATCAAATTTTTTAATGTGATAATGAGCCACCCGTGTTGTTCTTTTTCAGAAGGTGACGATGAGTGGCGCTTGGTAAGGGGTAAGTTTTTGGCCATAAACGCGGCGAGTATGAGCTGTGCTTGTCCCCGCACGCCCAAAGGCCTGTCTCCGGCCGCTCACCTGGCCGATGGCACCACAGACCTCATCCTGGTCCGGAAGTGCTCCCGCTTTGACTTCCTCCGTCACCTCATTCGTCACACCAGCAAAGACGACCAGGTACCTCTACACAATTATGCACAAGTGATATGGAAAATGTTTATAGATTTTAGTAAATAATAATTATTTGACACCAGTCTCTTGCTATTTTTGCTACTTATTTAAAATGTATTATTACCAGATATCTTTTTTCTCTTAGTTATTATATTGTGAAGTGTGAGCTACTGTGCCCAAATAATTTCCCTTGTGGATCAATAAGGCAATATTATCTAAGTCTAAGTACCGGTAATCATATTTTGAAGGACAGGTTTATGGCATATGCTTATTTACACTGCCTAGATGACATGTTTCACAGTATGGCACTATTATTTACTTAATTATTTGTCGCCATGTGGGCAAGTCACAGGATCTGTGTGAAAGCAAGCCTGCTCACAGTAAGAATAGATGTTTTACAAGGTATTCTAATCAATAAAACACTTGTAATTGATAATAATATATGCAAGACAGAATTTTCATGTTATGCTGTGGAACATTCCTGACACGCCATTCACATGTGTATCAAGTAGCTATATTTTTTCAAATGGTGTATTACACAAGCATTTTGGACTAAGTAAGCTTTTAATAGACATTTTAATTTGGAAAAATACAAAATAAAATCACACAGGCAAGGATTCAGGATGGCTGACTGGTAGTAGGTTAATGCCGTACCAATCCAGGCAATGCAATAATATCTCCATGGAGAAAAGCAGGTAGCAGCCCCCGTGTGCTACACCTTTTAATATATATTTTTTTCCAACTCTAGTCAAACATAAATGTATTGCATGCCTGCCTCAGCAATAGATTTGCTTCACATTATCTCATATCGATTGATAAATGTATCAAATGTATACATTTTACAGCTAAAGAACACATTTTCTTTACTGGGTCTTGTAAATTAAACTTCTAGATTTTCTTGCTTCACGTACTTCTAGTTTGAGTTTAGTAGTTCATTCTTAGTGTGTTTTGCGCTTAATCTTGAAAAAACAGATTCATAATATATCAGTATGTGCCTGTTGTCCTTCAGTTTGACCTGGCGTTTGTGGAGGTTCATCGCGTCAGTCGTTTCCGCTTCATGCCCCGTCAGTGTCAGAGCGACTCAGACCTGAACCTCCAGGAGTTCCACAAGAGGCAGATTTTTGGGCCTCTGTGCAGGGACCACCCGGCATGTGGCTGCAGCCCACACTACAGCAGCTGGAACTGTGACGGAGAGGTGCTCAACCACACTGCCATAGATGTTCGGTCAGTGCCCCTTGTGCGGTATTTTTCAGTTAGAGTTGTGATGAATTTTATACATGTGTTCTTATGTACGTACTGTATGTCTTATTATTGTTGTAAGGTGGTACTGTGGTCACTACGCTATATTTCACACTTGATATAGCTCAATACTTGATACATATTTTCATACCATAATTTGAAAACACAATTTTGTAGACAAAAGGATGCACATTTTAACACAAAAATAATAGTGCTTTCTTTACTATTACAATGTGGTGTTTTTACTAGTTATGACATAGATCAAGACCATTCTAAAAAGGTCACATTTTGTCCTACTCAATTATAAGGTGTTTATTTTTCAGTATAGATACTTCAGATTAGTATTTAGGTTAGATAATAGTTTTAGTATTGATTAGTATCTTGTCATTCACTTTTTGACACCCCTAAAGGTGTCTTAAAATCTCCAGAAATGTGCTTGATAAGTAAATATGTTGGTTATAGCTCTAAAGTAATCAGAGTTTGTGCATATCGTACGTTCAACCTACAAATCCTTGGAGTCAAAATCACTAACAGTTTTTTTTCTGTTTTTTTTCCCCCAGGGTGCACTGCCAGTTGATCAAGCTCTTCGCTCGTGGGATAGAAGAGATGACCGTTTTTGAAGAAGTTACCAACCCCTGTGCAATTTGAGACCCCCACAGCCACCCACTGTACGCATTTCTTGTTTCCTGTTATGTCCGGCTCAAAGTTATGACATCACTGCCGTCACTCGAGTCACCTCTAGCCTCAGCATATTAAAAAAAGCCTCAGCATATTATATTTTCATAGCAAATTTGGTCAAATGGAAAATGAGGAAATCCAAACCAGCTTTAAATGGGTAAATAAATGGATAATATGCCAGGTTTAGTTTTTTTTTTAATGATTAAACATGAAATTTGGTATTTGAGTAATCCATACATTTCATTGGTTTAAACATTTCTTAACATTTGTCAGCATTAAATAAGTGCAGTAGCTTGAGTTCTAACAATTGTATACCTCGATTTCTTTATTTTTGTGTTTTAACTGCTTATAGTATTAAAAATTAAGACTTATTCCTTTTAACTTAGATTTTGTTACATATAGATTAACTCTATTTGCACTTTTTGTCATTGAGATCTGCTATGTACTTGTCATTTATTGCTTCTGTGGTTTGATTTCCATTATCACCATGTTCATTTTTGTGCTGGTCGCCTTTCCTAGATCTGCTAATTATCCATGCTTGAGACTGGCGCAATATTCAAGTCCACAATAACCCACAACACTAACCAATGCAGAATAACCAGCTCTTTAAGGGATCTGTTCATGTTATTATTTTTGTACTATTTTTATTGTAGAATCGGTTTTCTAGTCTTTTGTCAAATTATATTACTTTAAGCTTTAATAGTATTTTTTACAGGCAGGCATTTTAGGGGGGAAAGTTGACATTTTTTGGCAGTCAGGCTGGTTCAGTTCTTCCATGATTTCTGCTCTTTATGCAAAACACAGCAAAAGTTTAAAAGTAGCCTTTAATGAACAGAAACTTCCACTAACCTAAACCAAACCAGAACAGATATTTTATCCATTGTCAAATTAACAGTCATACTACCTTCAAAATACCTGGGTGATACTCAAATCTATCTAAATTTCTCTGTGAAGTTTTAATGTACACAATAATTTCAAGTTGAAGTATTTATCTTATCCTGAAAAAATGCATTGCAAATAATGAATTTTAAAATGTATTACCTTGTTAGTTAGTGGAAGTTTAATTGATAATCATTTTAGAAGGATGCTGTTTTACTGAGTCTATGACCTGCTGTTAGCCATTAGCCGCTAACACCTTTCTGTAGCAGCTTTAAGGCTCCATCATTTGCTTCCTCTCTGCTTATGTTAGAGCTGGCCTCTCATTTACGTAGAGGGAGAACTGGTAGCTATTTTGCAAGCGGTGCTCCATTTAAACGGCCATTTCTCAAAACCAATGAATTTTCAACTGAATATTACCAAATAGCCTACAATGTTGTTATGTAGCTGCATGTCTTTCTATTGGAGCTGTTGATTTACTGTGTGACATTATTATCCAGCAACTTGTAGTAGACAATGAAAGACAGTACTGTGCAAATAAAGCAAGTTATTGTTTCAATGAGTAGAAAAGGGGCAAATGCAGAGATGCAGGCTAATATTACAAGGTAGATCCATGTAGCACAGACATCTGCTAAGGCGTTGGTCCTATATTGCAGTGATAGCCTAATTGCACCTGAAAGCTGTTTATTTCAGAATGGATCTGTGACGTTTAAACTCCACAAATTGTGTGAAAGAAAATCACTCATCTAGAAAGCACCATAGTCTGAATAAAATGTAGGAAAAACATGGCATGCATCATAACTCTTCTCTCTGTTAACTGCATTTGTCTCACTAAAATATTTGCACAGTATTGTTAATTTCCATAAACATTCTGATGCTGTACAATCGGTTTGAAAAGTTTTGCATCTACTTGCTGTAAAAAAAAAAAAAAAAACATAACCAAACCTGCAAAAGTATATATTTTTGAACCAGAAGAATTACATTTTATTGTATTGTACAATATTGTGTTGATAATTGTACATCTAAGGTGGTATAGAGCCAAGATCAGTGAAGGAGTTGAAAGATTTGCTCTGGTCAAGTTTTGAACAGCAACTGGCTATTGTCAGTACATTGTGATAAATGTGAGCATTCCTTATTTTGTGTTTCAAAATGTAGACTGTAGAAATAGTGGACCATATTTGAAAAAGATATATATTTAATATGTAAAATGTTAATGTATTTTGTTCCATAAACATGTATACTTTCAGTTTTGTGAAATTTTAGGTTTTAAGTTTTGGCCCTCTTTTGAATTTATTTATTAATTTTTTTTTGTGTTATTCCAGATGCCAGGAGTACTACAAAACTGTTCTACATATATAAACTTTGTTTCACATTTACAATAAGAAAATAGAATAATTGGTAGATAGATGGTCCACTGTTTTTACTGAACAACCAAATCCAATTCTTGACTGACATGAAAATTGCCAAGTAAAATGTTTGCTGGAAAAGGAGACTGATCCTCTTGCTGAAGTTTTGCTGTTACGTAACGATATTGATAAAACATGAATATATTGTTATGATATAGAAAATGTAGAATAAATGATTGTACATGTATCTTTTTTAGTGCTGCGTGCAGCTATTTTCTTTCTAATTGTTTAGCAATGGTCATGAATTTAACCAAATGATATCTTTCAATCCAAAATAGTTGTAATCTTCTGGCTGTAGCAGACTGAGCACTCGTCTAACTGATGCAGTCTACCTGATGATAATCTCCTGCTGTAGCTCTTCATGTGAAAATAAAAATATGTTTAAGTTGACTGTTCTGTGGTCTTCATTGTGCTAAAATATAAAATAACACCAACTCAAAAACGTGTAATACGCTGATAATAATCAAGTACTTATTTCTTTGACAGGGACAATGCAGTCATTCATAGTCATAGGCAGGGCATGCAGCTGTCGTGACGTATATAGTGTGTAGCTAATGCTTATTTTCAAACGCTGACTGTCCGAGTGTGCAGTGTGAGATTGTACAGTGATTACTGGAGGTGCTTCTGGTGACTGTTGCTTAATGCACTTAGTGGCTCTGGTGCTAGATTATTTATTAGAGTATTCAATGTTTCAGAGTGACCTAACAGATGATAAGAACATGCACAGGCAGCAATTGTGTGGTCAATCCCACATGCTGCTATGCAAGTTTCATGTGTGCTCTGCTGAGGTAAAGGTACCTTTATTTAAATAATCCTACTGCTCTCCTGTCTGCACTGAACAACTGTGGCGGAGCTACAAAAAGTCCAGTATGCAGAGGCTCATCTTGGCCAATAATAACTCAACGAGACTGCATCTGAAGAGAATATAATTTATCTTTATAGCGCATTATATTTCTTAACTATATTGCAGTGGTCATATCTAATAACCAGAGGTGTTTAGGGTAGCCAAAGAGTTTACTCAAGTAAACTTCAAAATAATATCACTCAAGTAGAAGTACAAAGTAGACCAAGAAATTCCTCAAGTAAAAAAGTATTTGGTAAAACTACTAAAGAGTGATTTAAAGAGTAACTGTTAGATTGGACAGAGTGCAGTTGGACAGTTGGAAGAGTTATCAAATTTTTACTCAAGTGAAAGTACTATTAATTAAATACAAATATTACTCAAGTAAAAATAAAAGTATGCTTCCCAAAAAGTACTCTGAAAAGTAGTCTATAAAATAGTTTCTAACACTTCTGTCAGTCTGCCCCAGGTCAGCTGTGGCTACAATAGTAGCTTACCACCACGAGGTGTGAAGTAAAAAAAATAATGCACAGAAAGGTACTATATAAATCCAATAATTTATTAATAATTCATTATATCTTGTGCAAATGACTGCTAAAACAACAACAAAAACAGATTTGATTCACCTTGTTTTTAAGTCTGTGGAAAAGAAAATATGTTTCCTATCATAGTCAACACTGTATTTAAATTGAATCTAAGCGTTAACATCAAACTTACAAAAGGAGTGTTGTGTCATGGATCAATACATTGACGCACTCATTGTGTTAATTTAAACAAACATTCTGCAGAGATAAGCACTCATTAGGGAAGTCATATTTGAACCAAGAACAAACTTTTACATGTGGAAATTTATTGGACAAACTTCCTCCCTGAATCTGTAAATATTCAAAACAATAAAATCCAGGTTAGATAGTTGGGAGGGTCGATATTTGAAGCAGTACAAAAGTGGGGCTGCTTTACCATTTGTTCACTGAGGAGGTCTGAACACTGAACATCAAGAAGCAGGTCAGTTAATGTCAGATGAATTATAGAGATACATTTAGAGTAAACGTAGAGTTGTATAGCTATGGTTATCAGTATGGATATACTTCTAATACTGAACATTAGATTAATTCAGTTTAGACTTTTATTAATGACTGAGACTTAAATTTGAAATGTAGTAAATTTTTGGTATTATCCTGGCATAATCCTAGTTTAGTCTTAATTTTGTCCTAATTTAGCACTGGTTTATCTGACTTTTTTCCCTCCTAATGTTATATTTAGTTAATAATGTTTGGAACAGTTTTAGTCTGGGTTTACATTGTTCTGTGTTAAGTTAATTATTGCATTATAGTTACAGTAGCTATTCAGTCTTTCTCCAGTGTGCAGTTGCTGGGCTGTTTTATATTTATTGTTTTCTATTTTCAGAAATTTCTCCTGATGATGTCGCACCTGAGTGTAACCTGTGTGTTTGTGCTGCTCAGCCTTATCTCCTCCGTCACATTAAATCCAGTCAGGTAATGGCCACAGTCTGTGGTAATAACAATGAAAAGTGACAGTCAAGGGTTTATGGTAACACATATAAAGCATGCAATTCAGTCAGTGGAAATTTGATATTAAGTAATAGGAGCCATGTTATATGTTACTGTAAAGTGCTGTTACTTAATGGTGTATTGTGTAACTTTTCTGGTGGAGGGTCCATCAAATGCTTTTCTCTGTGGGGTTGTTATTGCTTCATCTGAAATGTTTCACAGTGTGGCATTAAATCTTTCTATCTTCATGGAGACCAAACCAGACCAGTCTAGGTATTTTTGAGTGACAAAACCACCTGTAATTAAATAAATGTAAGGTACATCTGTTTAATGTCACACTGTGGAACATTCCAGGCAGAGCAATGACACAAGCAGGTAACAGACCCCCAAACAAAAAGTTACACAGTGCACTTTTAAAGGTCCCACATTACGCAAAACTGACTCCTGTGAGCTTTTAACCATGTCACTTCATCAAAAATATTCCTGGAGTTGTGTTTTGTTTTATTCACCCATGTTTAAGTAACCCTCATTTATTAGTTTGTCTACATCTCCAAAGGTCTAAATCCAGTCCCAAAGCTCTGTTCCACCTTGCGATGTTATGAAGCAGTATTTTTCAAGATAAACGCTAGAGAGATTGGCAATTCCAGGGCAGAAGTCATTCAAATGATCCCATGAAAGTGTACAGTACGCAGTTTAAAAATGCAGTGGGGCACTTCCTGTATTAGCACATGACATGACAAGGTCTTTTCTGTTTGAGAGAAGAACTCAGTCAAAATATGGAGGGTTTGTGTGTTGAAGATTTGTGGATGAATCAAAACATGACTCCAACATTATTACATAGGTCAAAAATAGTACAATATAGGCCCTTTCAGCAAAATAATAGCAGACTAACTCATTATCACCTGTGTATACGTAACTGACAAATTTAGTATTTTATTTATCTATCCTTGTTGTCTTATTTCAGAAATGAAGAACAAGACAGTTTTCAGACTGAACTCAGACGCCCATGGTCAGTGGAAGACACAGAGGACTCTGTGTTAGAGGATAAACTAAGGTAACAGTACAATGCCTTTTTTCTTATATAGCAACTCTGACCACCATCAGTCTATGGTCTTGCATAAAGTTAGTTTTAGTAATTACTCTTAAATATTCTTTTAAATTTTAGTTCAGTGGGCGAAAATGACAAGCTAATTTATTTCACTAAATCCATAATACTTTTAGTGAATAAGATTGCTTTATTTTGACTATGATGAATTGTATTGCTTTGACTCTTAACGGCATGTACAGACTTGTTCCTTGGGTGTTGTTTGTACAGTATATGCTCTGGTTTGGGGCTCTAGGAATGAAAAAAAAAGTTTTTATTATTTGACAAAAACAATAATTTTAGTCTGTGATTTTAGTCATAGTTTTAGTTATTCTGGTGCCCCCCATAGTTTGAAATTCCACCCTATACTATAAAAACAACCTGGTGTTTACATAATGGCAAAAGTACAAAAGTGGCACAAATTGCAGAAATATAAACACATCCAGAAAAACTGACAAAAAAGAACTGAAATATCAACTGACTAATACAAGAGTCACATTTCTTTTCTATGTTGTTTTATTGTTTGTGGAGAAAATGATGGTGGCCTTTGTGATTTGCTCGTTGCATTCATTCAAGTTATAATTTCGCCACCATAGCCTCACCAAAATCTATGGGAAACACTATTATACAATTACATATTTAGTTTTAACTAGCAAAAATATGAAATTGACAAAAACTATGACAAAATATTTGACTAAACGAATTCTGGTGGGAATGAACAGACTGTATAATTTGTGTGTTTTCTGCAGGCAGTGGCTGTCCTCTGGTCTGGACAGGAGGAGACAGCTTGGGGACATAGAGTTTTCAAACAGATACTCAGAGTTTCTCAGATCCAAGGCCAAACACACGTCCATGTGTGCCTTCCTACGACGCATGCAGGGTGTTAAGAAGAGGTAACCATCCAATTATTAGTCACAAAAATACTACAACTTTATAATAAGAAGATTCCTTCAAAATACAATGAATAAATGAAATACTTAAAGTGCCTATGGCAGGTTACATCACTCATTTACAAGGTTACATTAAAATCTTGCCTCGCTTTTGATTTTTGGTGAAGTTTACAATTTTACTTCCTTGTTAGACTCGAGCAAATGTGACAAACGCAGAGGTAATACCATAACTGTTACCTAGCAACCATAATAAAAACAAAACATGTCTATTTCACAATAGGCCTAGTTCTGATAAGACTAATAAAAATAAATGACAACAGCTTTATTTCCTTAATGAATGTTTGAAAAATGTACTAGAAAAATGGCTTCCTTGGCTTGCATAAATTGTCCCTGCATTTTGGATAGAGTTTCTGTGTTGATGACATAGGTAGATGTATTAGAGGGTTACTTCGTGTATTTTTTGTACTTAGCTTTTCAGCTTAACTGTTATAAAACTATAATAAATATTTACCACATGTTCTATCCCACCAAACCAAGTCATAATTATCATTTACACTTTAATACTGTGAATTCTTATAATCTCTCTCGTGTCCATTCACAGCGGGGTGGGAGCCGATACTGAGAGAGTGAACCTGCTGCTTAAACAGTACATGTGTCCCTCCATCCTGCCCTGGCCCGCAGACCTCTGACCAAAGCACTCAACTCACTGTGTTTAAGTTTACGATTAAAGACTTTTTCATGAACTGATACTGTGTTTGTCAGCTTTGTCATGGATGTGTATGGATGACCATACAAACATACAGTTTGAAATTAACCATATAACACCATATAAGATAAGATACCTTTATCTGCCATTTTCTGTGGATGCATTAAATAGGCCTATACCATATCATAAATGATAATGGGTGTCTGTCATCTGCAGCTGGATTGCTGCTTTGCTTTGAATTGTTAATCACCATGGCAATGGTCCTTATTTTTCATCACTCTGAAACCCATGAATAACACTTTTTGGACATTCAATAAAACTACATTACATTATTTATAGATTTATGGTGCTGCCCCTTGGGTGGCAACCATCACCAAATACTGACATGGTATAGTGGGTGAAGTGTCTAAAGGCTCACCAGTATACACTGGCCAAAGAGGCCAGGGTGAACTTAATACTAGACGGGTTGACTCCTTCAACTGACCAACTTTTGCCTCAGCACCACACTTCACAGCTTCAGTAAGAAAAAAATAAAAATAGACATAATTGGAAAATTCAAGTGTTTTTTAAAATTCTAATTAGAGATGAAAAAAGCCAAATGTTGGTGAATGTCAAGTTAATATTTTACATTCACAGCTCTCACAGTTATATGGCCTCACACATTCATATCTCAGAGCTCTAGTCCATTGTTCATTCAACACTTGGTGTTGGTTTGTTACCAGCTACTCCATAAGGCTGTATAACAAGTGGGTGAAGTGTCTTGCCAAAGGACAAAATGACACAGTGCCGGTATCTAACCAAAAACCCTTATAATTAGTAATTTAGAGCCTCCAATGTTTCAGAGATTGTTTTTAAATGAGATGCACCAATATAGGCACAATATACATGTATACAGTCAGAATAATTTTCCATCCAAATATGCTCTGCTAAATTGAAATTATACAGCTTAAGTAGATATCATTATCTTAATTCTCAAATAAGATATCTTTCTCTTTCATGACTGGTTTATAGTGAGAAACCCTTTGTAGGCCCACCCCCAGAGCCTTAACACATATATCTATAGCATATATATGCTGAATAACCTCTGGTCTATAATAATATTGCAGATTACTGTGCCCACTAACCCCATTAATAACAAAACTCATTACTTCCTCATCCACTGCTTGGCTCAAGTAATCTGAACATATGCAGGGTTTTATAAGGCTTTCCAGCAAACAGGTAAGCATGGTTTATGACAGGCAAAAGTCCAAAAGCACCATAAAATAAATGTGATAAGGAAGAGCAGAGACAGAGAAGGGGTTCAGAGCGGACGAAACCAGGACTAAACCAGGACCGCATCATGGGGACCAACAGGGACCACCGAAATATGATGAAAACTGGATTTGGAGTTTTGTTTCTGTTGGTTGTGCTTCAGACGGGGACACATGCACAAAGTAAGTACAACAATGTCTTTTATGGAAAATCGAGTGGAAAAGATGACTGTTATGTAAACCTATAGTAATAAATTAGTACTGTACATACAAGATTAGTGCTTTTGTTTTTTACTTTATTATTAATACTAGAGAACAAATGAAATATATGTACATAACATATCCCATGCTGAAAGCCATGGGCTTAAAGGGATTATAGAAGGGTCTTTTGGAAGTCAAATTTGATAACCAGAAAAAAACGTAAAGGATTTAATACTTGAACCAAACCGAATATCAAATATAGAACACATGTAAAGAAATTCCAACGTATTCATACTTTTTTTTTTTCCTTTTTCCAAAAAGACTTTTCATAAGACTCATAAAATATACAATACTGTAAACGTACAGCTATGAGTCATATTGAAGAGACAGGTCCCTCTTCTGAGAAACAGGAAGTTTTTGTCTAAACCATTAGGGGTTCAAATTAAACCTACTTTATTTTTTAGTTTACAGATTGAACATTATGTGTTTTTATTGAGTTTGGATGACAAAGTACATAATTTCTGATAGAAAACCTGTAACTCAACATTTTTTTGTTCCTAAATATCTTATTATTCTTTTTGCTTTTTGGGCTTTAAGTTTGTATCTGTTAGGGTCATGTTGCTAAAAATGTGCTGCTAATTCAGCAGGCTGTATTGTCCACTGTTACACACTGCCAGTAGAGGGAGTCCAAGGCCTAATTTAACCAGAAATACAGATGAAAATGTCTCAAAAACGGAAGTTTTTTTTTTTTCTTAAAGCATAAGTTAAGACTATACAATAAAACAGCACCTAATTATATCAAAGTTGGTCTTGTTTATGTTCAAAAAAGAAGATTGAAAGTCATATTTTTAGGCCTGTCATGATGATGATGATTATACTGACAGATGGAACAATCATTTTCGGTGGTCAATATTTATTGTGTGTATCTTTTCGTTGTACTAGTGGGGACATTTTAGGTCATATCTTTTGCAGCGTGATAAGATCTGAGTTGTAAAAAGTTGAATCATGAACTTCTATGACCAACAGATATAAATGAATGACTTAATTATTGCATTCTGTTGTTAATTTTATTGCAGTTCATGCATTGTATATTTAAAATAGTTTTCTGGGGATTATTTTATTTTATTTTTTTCAAAATTGCCTAGCATAGAAGACTATACAGTTAATGGCTTAAAGGCACTGTGCCTCATTTATTTATTTATTTTAAAACCTTGAAAATTTGATTTACTTAATTTTATACAGTTTGTACTGGTCCAAAAATCCTCACTTGCCTTATGCATTCTGAGAATCCTAGTCATTCACCATGATGAGTTTATAAGTGCTTTTCAGAACTTCTAGGAACTAGAGAGGAGTTTTGTTGTCATGGTAAAGTTAACAACAACAACTAGCATGCTAACATGAACTTCCTGATCACCAGACAATACAACTTTTTCAACAACATGTAGTGGACATATTTTGATCTCAAGAGCTCCTTATACTAGTATAGTGTATATAGAGTCCTTACAGTAGAGGTCTGCGCAGGACAGAATTTTCAGTTCCACTCCCGCCCGCATCTGCAATATTTTGTCCCGCTCCTGCCCGCAAATCGTGCAAGATGTGGACGTTTGCTTTCTTAAGCTTTATGAAACACGGGGAAGCGGAAACGAATTGTCTAAAATGTGCGCGAGATTAGACCACATATGCAAATTAAGGCAGCTTAAAATGTTTTTATTTTTTTACTTTACACTCATACTAAGTTTGCAGGACTGCAGTTTATCATCCCACCTGCCCGTTCCCGCATTGTGCAGTCTTGTTCCCGCCCGCGCCCGCAATGAGCTTTCAAAATGTGTCTCGCTTTGGGAAAAATATATTACAAAAATAAATACTACAAGATTAAAATTAATAAAAAAAAAAACAAAAAAAGTGGCCAGGATATTTTGATATTTTACCTTTACTTTGTAGAGAACATTCTATTATCGAAATGCTTGCCTTTGTGATTTGATAATTGTGCCAACTCAAATTGCAATTTCAATTTGATAAGGATATATTGTGCAGCCTTAATCTGGAAAAACCCTTCCTCAACCTCTGGTGTTTAGGTTGTCCACAGGCTCCTATTCTGGCACGCATTAATGAGAACAATGAAGTGGGGGCAGTGGTCACAACTATTCCAGATGTCACAGGAGCCATTCTAGAAATCATAACTTCACTTGTGCCGTTCCGTATCCAAGGAGATCAATTATTGGTTACTCAGGTTCTGGACTATGAAAAGGTGAGAGACACTGATTCTGGGTCAAATTTAAATGGGCACTATGTAACTTTGCAGGTGGAGGATCTGCTTCCTCCTTGTCTTAGTGTGCCTTCACCTGGAATGTTCCACAGTTTGCACAATTCATCTATCTCACATTTATTCAATTACAGATGTTTCTTTCCATATAGAAAAATACTTGTCTCCATGGAGACAGAAAATATAAATGCCATAATGTGGAACATTCCAGGCAAAGCAATAACATCTCCATAACAAAAAACAGGTGATGGACCTTCCACCAAAAAGTTATGTAGTGCACTTTTGATGCATGTGTTATGAAAAATTTTATATTGTGAACGATACTTTTTCTTTAAATACTTTGGTTATGTTGTTGTGAAATAATGTGGTCATGTGTGGCTTGTTCACAGGAAACGACATTTGAAGTCGATATTCGATGCACGCTTTCAGGACAATCACCAGTAGGACTTTTTTATTTATTATTATTATTCATGTATTATTATGCTTACTCATTTAATTATATTTAAATGTAAAGGAGTTGTAAAGCTCATAAAAGTTTATTTGATATAATATGTCCCCTTTAATGTTGTAGACCTAAAGGTGTATTGAAGAATATGTACAAAAATACTTAACTGACAATTACATAAAACCACATCTCTACTTCAGACAGGGTGGAAAGGAAGCCACATAACAAAGTTTACATTTTATTTAGACAGTGTCCCAGACGCCCTGAGACAGGTGTCTGCACAGATGCCTGTGTGTGTGTCTGCGTGTGCAGTATGAGCCATGTACATACCAGCCCCAACAAATCCATAACAACACCAACTCTGTGATGATAACAGCTCTGCAGTTTTCTAAAGTGGTGGTCTGTGGACTACTTCTTTAATTAAGTCTTTTTAGACCACTACTGTGATTTAAAATGTGTAAATTATAACATAATGATCCATGAGTGGCATAGATTCTAACTATACAGCAGGCTCAAGCACAACCTTTCATGTGAAGCCCCAGTGTTTCTAAACACTATACAGTGTGTGTTTTGTTTTCCAGGTACGTTTCCAAGTAATTGTTCTACTGCAAAATCTAAATGACAACATTCCTACTTTTGCTCAAGAACTTTACACACTGAGTGTTGCTGAGGTAGGAAGCCAACGTGTTTATTCAAGACACAACCCAAATGTTGTTTGATTGGAGTAAACACTCATAATTACACATCATACACATCATCACCTTCATAAAACATTATTATTATCATCTGTTTTGGTCTGTGCTGATAATACTTACAATGATACCATAAGCACATAATGCAAATTTTGTCATATTTATCCTGAAGTAAAAAATACCTGATTGCATGTTTTTGTCCCAGCTGACACCCGTAGATACACTTGTGAAGACCTTCACTGCAACAGACCTGGACAACTTGGAGCCACTCATCTACACTCTCACGTCAACACCTGTAAGAATAGCAATTCTGTGTTTAATTTTTAGTTTTGTCAAGAAAAGTAGACAGAAAAAAATTACTTTAAAATATTCAGATAAAATTGTTGTATAATTGGATGTTTTGTATTTATTATGATAAATAGTCACATTTTTATATAGAACTTTTCCACTTTCAAGGCACTAAAAGTGCTTTACATCAAGGAATCACTCGCCCATTCCTACACACTCATACACACATGGGTTAAGTGTCTTGCCCAAGGACACAACGACAGCATTCATCTGCTGGACCTGTGGGTCAGTGGATCTGACCGCTCAACCAGCCTTCTGATCAGTGAACAAATGATCTTAACATTCTTTGTTCTGCCTGGTTTTCTTTAGGATGTCTTCAAGTTGAAATCTCGAACTGACCCTGGGATCGTTGTGGCCAAACCACTGGATTTTGACAGCATTAAAAGTGTTCAACTGATACTGACTGTTCAGGTGAGAACCATGCCCGGAACTAAACTACCCTTTTCCATCACTTCAATGATTTTACTTATGTATCAACAAAAGTGCAAGTGCATCAAACTATTACTACAACAGCAAATTTACTTTGGTGGTTGTGTGTCTATGTTCCTTATATTCCATAGACAGGGGAAGGAATATACTGAGGACCATTAGGTATCTCACATTTCGTACTTCTGAAATGTAAAGTGCAATATAAATAAAAAGTATTATTAATTACTATTTTAATAGGTATTCATGTTCTCTGATCCTGTTGCTCCCAATCTACATAATATGGGGAACATACATAGTGGGACCAGTAGGGCTGCACATTTAATCATAATGAAACTGAAATGTGAATTGGTGTAATTACCAAAACATAAAAGCTTCAATTAATGTAGGATAATACAATGTTCTTTGTACAGAACAAAATGCTTTAGTCTTTTTGTAGACAACATCTACAACATGTTATGAAATTTAACATATTCCTATATTATTTTAACAGCTCATATTTCAGTTGGTCTGGAGTTGATTTCAACGTGCGCTCTAAACAGATTTCTACTTTTAAAAATATATATATCGCAAATTTTTAAAAATTGCAATATCAAAAGTCTCTTCTTCATCCTAGGTACCGGAGAACACAGACACCACATGTTCTCTCTGTTCCTACACTTAGGAACTCATAGCTAATAATCTTTCTACCTACTCCTATTCCTAATCATAACCCTTACCTTAACCCCTTTGAGAAATAAACTAAAAAGGGTTACAACAAGCACAAGTGAATCTGGGTTACTAGGGCCTTAATGTGCATATAGAGGATACATATTTTTCTCATTCTCAGTACACGCCATGCCTCAGGTGAAAGCCCAGAACATCCAGAATCTACTCACTTAGCTGCATAATGATTGGCTGCCAGTGCTGGGGTTTAGAAAGTGATTAGATCAGAGAGAATCCTTTTAGGTTTAACACAAATGGATTTCAACATTGACACTGACAACTTAATGACTCACGTGAGGCTAATTCTGCTTTTTGTCTGGATAATCGTCTTGAAACCAAAACACCAAATTATAACATGTCCAGTGTTGTTGTAACTAAACATAACTCAGCATTACACTTGTTGTTAGTAAAAACCTTATTTAATGTGAACATGTTTACCTTGGATCTGGATATACAGATAGATCATGTTTAGGAGGTTTATTATAATAAAAATCTTATATATGTTTCCTTTATGAACAACTTCCATTACAGGACACAGACCCCGCAACACCGACCCACACAGACACCACCACCATAGACGTCACCATCACAGACACAGACAACAGGCCACCCTGGTTCCAGCCCTGCACTCCGCAAATAATCCAGGGGGTCAAAATCTGTCCCCACACAGGCTATAGAGGGGAGGTCACCCTGGGAGAGATGACGGTCAGTCTCTGGAGTCTAAACACATAATAATAGCACAGATTTTTGGTATGTGATAAAATAAAAGGAAGTATTATTTTATAAAAGGAAGTATTATTTATGATGATCGTAAGAGCATTAGTCCTGCTACAACTATGTCAGGGGCCACTATAAAGCCAACGCATTTTTGAAGGTAGTGGAAATGATAACCAGTGTAAATTGAGAAAATGCATACAAAAGGTTGGGAATCAAACCCAGGATCACCCTGCTGTGAGGCAAGAGTCTTAACCTATGCTTCTATTTTTGAATTGTTGGTTTGGTTAAAGTCAGAGGCAGATTTATTCCTGTCAAATTTCATATTTCACATCAATATTGTTTTATTTGATTGAATAGGTCTATTGGAAAGCAGTTTGTGTTTTAGTCCTTGGCATGCCTTGATTCAGATCTGCGGCTTTTTATCAGTCGTATAGGCTACATGTTTTTGTATACTAGTATGTCTTTTTGCAGGTGGGGCCAATACCTCTGGAGGGGCATAATATTTGGGCGACTGATGGAGACACTGGAATAAATGAGCCAAGCAGATACTATTTCGTAGGTGGTGAGTGAACTATATGAACTATAAGAGGGGGCATTGCACTTCTACGGGGTATTAATAGCAAAATCATAACATTTAGGTCATCATATTACCTTCTGTTTTGAACTTGTTGTCATGATATCATATACATAACTGTAAGGAGGGTTTGAATAACGCCCGGGAGAGACTGAGGAGGGAGCAACATTATAACATGGTAGAACGCTAAAGAAAACTGATTTGGCATAATATCCTCTCTTGAAGTCTTTCCCTTCTCCAGTCATCTATTACATATAGTTCAGTGGAGAAATGCAGGGTACCACATAAGGCTGTCACAGTCAAATGTAGCCTATTAATTATATATTCACAAGTCCTTAACAGTTTATAGACCAGGGAAAAGAACCACTGTAAAAACTATTGAAATCGAGACAGATTTGCTGAATTCATGTCAATAACTTGAATAGATGTTTTGATTTTGGAATGAAACCTCCAGTGATAAACATTATCTGTAACCAAGGGGATATTGTAATGAGATTTGTTTTTTTTCCTCAGCATCTGAGTTTTTTGATATTGGCCTTGAAACCGGAAACATCACTATGAAGAAAGCTGTAGATGTGCCAGGCGCTATTCAAATGACCGTGATGGTAAATGTCAAGTAATCTCTTTTTAAACATAATTTCCAAATCTAAAGCATATTTTACTAGGCCACTCAAGCACTAAACGCACACCAGTTTGCCACTACCAGCCTCACTGTGCTGGCCAAAAGTCTCCATGCACCCCAGTTTGAGAAGACGCTGTATGAGGCTATGGTGAAGGGAGTCGGGACCTTAGCTCTGGATGCTGCTGACAACAACAAGGTGTTGCAAATACTTGCAAAAGATGAGGACTACGCTGCAGATAACGTAAGACTGTGGTATTGAAAGACCAGTATCCAATATTTAACTTTCTGTCAATATTTAGCTTTTAAAATCATCCATAACAAGGCCCACAAATAGAAATAAAGGTCACATATTCACTGTTCACTCCTGTAAAAATAGTAACAAATTGTATTTATCTGAATATTAATAATTGCATGATTATGTAATAGAGGAATATATTTATCCTAAATTCTCTTCTATTAACATTATGACTCATTAGTCTGTTCAAAATGACAAACCTAATGCACTGACAATCTACAGCCAGGGCCAGCACTGAACTATAACAGTACCAAATTTTGGCCAAGTTCCGTAGCTCAGAAATGACCTTTGTCATAAATTAACCTAAATATAGCCTCCCAGACATCCAATATACAGTAATGCAATGACAGGAAGAAATCACAGAAACAATGTATGTTCATGTCTGTTAAATGTTTTCTGTTGTGCAGGGTATAAATCCTTTTATAGTGTACACAATGACGGGAAGCAATAGCACTGCCTTTACTCTCATGAATGGATTCTTGTACATGTTCACTGAGGTCCCAGAAGGATTCTATGACCTGGAGGTAATGACAATATTTCACATTTTATTTATTTATTTAATTATTTATTTTAACCGTTTGATACATTCATTTACATTTATTTTCTTCAGGTCATGGCAAAAGACATAAACACCTCTGAAACAGCAACAACTCAGCTCAGAGTGGAAGTGGTGCCAGGTAGGGAAAAAATGCTTTGGCAAGCACAAATATGCAGCTTTATGACATTTTAATTTTGCCTCTGCAGCTATAATAAGCAACGCTGAGACGTTTATGAGTCCATTATTATTATTATTAGCTATTATAAGCATTATAAGGTATTTTGGCAATTTTATCTCAGGAGATGTGGCACCAGAAAGAAAATACATTCTGCTTTGTTTCATTCACACGTTTAACACACAAATTCTGCATTTTTAGGCTGAGTTGTTGTTGTTTTTTTTCTCAAGCTGAAAACACTCTGTTCCACCTTGTGATATCATCAAATAGTAATACTGGGAGTGCTCTGCTGTGTTTTTAAATGCCATACACCTTCACTAGAATAATCTGAAATTCCTAAACTTTGAAGCTACAGCTATGACTTGAGGCTCTCTGAACATTCTTAGTTTTCTTGGTGCACCAGTAGACTTTCTGTGGCACTCTCTATTCTAGAGTAAAGATGTTAAAATAGCTGTTAAACTACCACAAGGTAGAACAGAGCATTCTGAGATTTAGACAGCCCAATAATGCAAGATTACTCAAACATGTGTGAATGAAACAAAACATTCTAACATGGCTAAAAGCTCACAGGAGTCCATTTTTAAGTAATATAGAACCTTTAACAAATAATCATGATTCTGAGCCTTCAAAATTGCGAAGCTCACTCACTCAGAGTCTAAGCTTGGATGTGTGCTCTCCTCGCAGAGCCCACCACCACTGTTCCTCCGACCACAATCTCCACAACGCCCACCGAACCAACCAGCAACCCGACCACTCCTGACCAAACATCTAACCCTACCACAGCGGCAACTACTAACGCAGTTACTAGCCCCACCTCAAATCCTACCCCTACCCCCAGTGAAAGCACCAAGACGACCATCATCACACCTGGAGTTAGTGTTCAAACGTCCAACCCTGTTACAACCACTGGAGGCATCACGGGCAGCACAGGTTCCCACTTTTAAGTCTCAAACAACTTTCAGTGCAGTGAAGTCAGATACAGTATGTGGAAAGAACTAGACATTTAAGGGTCGCTTACAACCACAATCACAGTTTTTTTATCACATGACAGTATAGTCACTGTTCAGTAATAGTTGGGAAAAGTTTGCCTCTGCTTTCATACAATGAGAAACACTGCATATTTTAAAGGTACACTGGGTAACTTTTTTGGTGAAAGGTTTGCCATCTGCTTGTCTCCATGGATACATTATGTATTTGTCTGGAATATTCCAATGTCGCCATTAGGCCAAGCTACAGATCAGATCTGTAGAGAGGTCACGCAAAATAGTAATGCATGTTTTTCAAGATATTAAAAAAAACAAACAAAAACATCTTTACTTCAATAAAGCAAGACGTTTAAAGCAATAACATAGAACATTTCAGGCAAAACATTTTGGATCCTCCCTCAGAAAAAGTTACATAGTGCACCTTTAAGTAATATTTATATGGAGATTTAATAGAAATGTAAATAAATGTGAAATATATAGGGACATATAGACTAATTATTAGACTTTAAGTGGGCTGTGGGGCTGTAAGTGACCCTCAAAGCTTCAGGATGCTTAAAGCTTATATAAATTATCTGCAACAATGTATAGCAACCAATCAGGGGCAGCTGCTTCAAGCTACAGCTAATGTTAAATCAAAACTGCTCCGACAAATTATTTCTGTGTACTTATAAACTTATTCAGTTCTTGTTATAACTGTTTTATTTTTCCATGTGGACAATGAAGCCGGTGTGATCAAACCTTCTGGAGACTTCCGGTCAGCAGACATGGCTGCACTGGGAGCTTCTCTAGGCTGTCTCCTGTTCCTCTCCATCATTGTGATCGCCATTCTCGTTGTTAAGCTACGAAAAGGCAACGTGGCTTGGAAGAAGATCAACGAAGCCAGCGCCTTTAGGAGCTCTGTAAGAACAGACTTACTTTAAAATCATTCATTCTTTTCCTACTTTTATTACAAACTGTCATCTCAGTGGGTCAGGAGGCAGTAGGCCTGGGTATCATTAAGAAGTTAGATACGATACATACAGTACCCCGATACATAGGCCACAATACGATACACACCTCGATACAGTGCACTTTCAATTTGATACGATATATATATTTCAAACTGATTGAAAATTAAAATAATGACTAAATCATCACTGTGTGAAAGTCTTTGTTAAACCACTTCTTGTGCAAAGTTCAAATGAAACACACCCCATTTTAATCACCAGAACAGTGAAAATGTCAAATGTCTTGCATAAACGAGTTTCCTTCCTCTAAACAAACAACAAAACACTGTAACAAAATAATTTAGTAAAATATACCAAAAAATACTCTTGGCGATATATCGATACAGAAGCCCACAATATCGACACTGTATCATCACATTACACGATACGATATATAGATATTTCAATATTTTTGCACACCCCTAAGAGGCAGAGTGGTTGTTTTATAACTAGAGTTGGCAGTTCAATCCAGACACTTACACTCTGTTGTACCTGTTGTAATGAGCAAGACACTTCTGCCACCTTGCCTGTTGAATGTGCTGTTTTAAGTGAATGATTTGGTGTAAATTGCAATCCAAGTCGATTCATTACCTTAACCCCTTGTTAAATTGTTTGGCATGAGTAAAGACATCCTGGCTGTTTCCTCATTTATCTTTTTAAAGGTGCACTGTGCCACTGTGACATTTTCATGAAGACAAATATGTGGAGCTACTTTGCCACCCAAAATAAAATAAAATAATACTATGAATGTTCGATTACTTAGAATCTAATATATCACTTTTTTGTTCCTAGCTGGGCCCATCTGGTCAAAAGGAGGGGGTCCAATTTACAAATGAAGCTTTCGAACATGACGATGACGACAAAGACAACAAAGGTCCCTCTGGTGGTGGTTTAGAGACAGACAAACCCCAGCCCAGATCTCTCCCGAGACCCCCTTCACCGATTCAAGATGAGGAAAAAGAGGTGAAGCCCATCCTAACAAAGGACAAATTCAAAGAGGATGGGTACAAGGCAGTTTGGTTCAAGGAGGACATCGACCCTAATGCCAAAGAGGAAGTAGTGATCATCCCGGACAGAGGAGAGGAGGAGGAGGAAGACGAGGATGAGGGAGAGTCAAAGAGATCCAAAGTGATGTTTAATGACGCAGATGTGGACAGTGGACTTGGGGACAAAAATGAGGACTCAGAGGAGGAGAAAACTCTGACTTCCAGTCTGTGAGACAAACAAAACAACTGATTAGACAAATATTACAATCAAGTCAGTATACTTCATTGATCTATAAAGCCCTAGTCCGATTCCATTTGACTGATTTTAAATGAACATACTGACATATAGACCTATCTCTTCTAAAAATTCACACTTCACTGTGATTACTTAAATCATACAGTGGATGCATTAAAAAAAGACACAATCATTCATAAACCATTTATATTATGTTGCATTATGCTGCCAAATTTGGCATTAAAATTTATAACATCTAATGTATCTTTTCTCTTTAAACTGTACCTAAACAAAGTACAAAACTGAAATGTACAGTATAAACTTAAGAAATTAATATGATGGAAGAAGTCAAGGTAATTTTACTAAATGCTTGACACTGAATGTTTTTAATTTGTTGATAAAATACAGCCATTACTGATTTTCTGTACTTATGAAAGTGTAAAAGAGCAAACATGTAATGTGCTCTGGAGTTAATGATTATGTATGCATCTGATGTTTGCTGTGGATTTGTACCAGGGAAACCTAGAGACTGAAGCCAAAAGATAAGTTAGCCATAAAACTTGTCCTCCCAGTTGTAAATATGACGCACAAGATGAAATAAAGCCACCTACAGAATAGCATATATTCACATACCGCATTAGACTGGTTTTGGTGGAAAAAGACCCACTTCTGTTCAATACTGTCTAGTCTAGCAATGGATTATTAATTTTTATATCTACTGAAGACTTACCTTTTTTTTTTTTAATAAAAATGGAGCTGTAAATAACCATGAATTACAATTCCTTCATTCACTTTAGACTGATTTGCACCCCCAACTTTGCAAATACAAATAATAAAGCAGTGGCTTAAAAACATAAAAAAGTTTAATGAACTATACAATTTGAATTCAGAAATGAAAATATTTACAGATGTACATTACAATTCATGTGGTAGACAATTCTCCAAAGAAATGAAATGTCATTTAAGTATTTAATCGTCATCTTCATCATCTACTATGAGAGGTCTGGATCTGTGAACAGAGAAAAGAGTTCATACTAATATTGTGGACAAGTAATGAAAGCCATTTCTAAGACAGTCATGGAAGGGCTTTTCACTGAATCTCAAGTCAGATTTGCATTAAGCATGCCATTTTAGAAATTTAAATTCAAAATACATTACTCAACAATAAATGTCATGTCATTTTGGTCAGGCAGTCATTTAAGATCTGATCATCATACTAGAATTATGGTCAATTATCTGATGGCAGTTCTCAAATCATCAGTTTTGAAAGTGGACAATTTTGTTGAAACCCACTTTCTATGCTATGGCATTTGTATTTTTCAAAATAAACTTCATTCACAATAACTTCAAAACTGTAGCATAATATGGAATTATAAATATTAAACATTCCATTAGACAAATTAACAAGTTGATTTTAAATAGAGTTAATTATACATTACATATTGTTGACTAGTAAAACAAATACTCTAAAACAGCTGCTGGCATAAAGATTTTATCTTGTAATCTTGTGAACATACTTCCTGCTGGCTTTGGACATCCCGCTGCCTCCCGCTTCCTCCTCATCCTCCACAGAAGGCTGTAGGTTCTCCTTCTCAGGTTTCCGAGGCGGTCCTCCAAAGAAGTCTCCGATGCCCTTCTGCCACACAGGTGTGGGCCGGGGGCACACTGGGTTACCACCTGCATATTTGTTCTTTGCTGCAAACAAATGATCAAAGTGTTAAAGTGATACTTCATGAAAATACATTTTTAATGTGTGAGTAAATTCTATATGTAGGTGGGCAAATGTGCTGACCAGGTGTGGAGCACCCGCTGCTGGGAGAGGCAGAGTTGGAAGAACTGGTACCAAGGGACTTCCGGGGCGCAGATGCTGCCACAGCTATAAAATAAAAGTTTGTATACTGTTGTAATAAATTTAAATAAATTGAATATACAGAAAACATTGCTCACAGATAAATTATAGGATTTCCCTTAGGCATTACCCTTTTAGAACAATGTACATGGGGTTGGGAAACATATTGGCCCTCTGTACACATGAAAAAGTATAGTTAAATCCTAGAAGGAGAATGACATAACGCACGCAAAATTTTACCTTGACAATAAATCTTAGCAAACCCGAGGACCTTTAAAAATGACTCACCACAAAGCGGCGCTAGAATCTGGCGCCAGTTCAGAAAAGAACAGAGTCAAAAATAGCATTTTTCGCTACTTAAAACTACAACAGCGCTAACATAGCTTATTATTCGCCTAAGATTCTTAAACTATATAAACTTATGTTTAAGACAATGGAGCCCTTTTGCCGCTGGTACTGAAAACCCGCCAGCTCGTAGTCATTTGGCGGGAGACTGGTGTTGTAAAAAGAAAACACGGACTAAGACTGTCATTTATTCACGACGACATTGATGTTCGAATCCACAAACCAGACAGTCAAACTATTACTGACAAAACTGTACGGGGAAAACATTATCCAAATTACGCGCAGAGTGTGCGCGCCGCAATAAACCCAAAGTCCATAAACAACGTCAAAGCACAAAGCAAAAACGGCACCAGAGCAAAACAAACGTTCACTGCACAAATACAGTTTAGCAGTACCTTTCCTGTAAGTCCCTGGGACGCTGTCAGCTTTGGTTCGGACCATTTTGTGGCGCTGAGTGCAGGTGTAGCGCTGCTGAATGTGCTGAAGTGAGTGAGGAAGAAGTGGTCCCGCCTGCGTTTAAAAAGATCCGCGGGAACCGCTTCTTCTGCGCCAAAATGTGCTCTCACACTCACTACTCAGCAGCGCCCTCTGTAGGCGAAACGAGAGACTGAGTTACTGTTACATTTATGAGAAACCATGGAAAACACTCAAGTTTTCTCTACTTTACTTTAAAATGAGTCAAGCTACTGTAAAAGTTTCTTTTCAGTTGCTTTGTAGAATTCATATGCGCATGGTCACCACGTGCAAGACACATGGTAGAATAATGCTTTATTAATTTTTTACATAATTTAGTAATCATATTATATTATTTAATTATCTAAGCATCTATATGTAATCTGTGGTCTGTGACCTAGCAGGTGTCTCCTGACTGGTTTTAAGTCAAGTAGCACATTATTACTAATAAGCAAATTATTGAGCAAAAATGTTATTTTCATATTTCATAACAACCACTGGGAATCACACTAGGGTGGCATTGTAAAGTTTAAACCTTATTCAAATCATGTATACATAATTTCAATCATGTATACATCATTTAAATTAATTAAATTTCATGTTAAAACATTTAATAAACTACATTATTTTCTGTTTTCATCATTGTCATAATACAGCACAGGAGTTGTAATACAACGTTACAACTCCTGTGCTGACGGTGGAGACAAATCACACCACTGAACGCCGTTTCCGTCGAAGCAGAGCAGTTTGAGCGGAGGATCACTTAAGTAGAAACACATAAAAGCACTTTGTGATTTTATTTATAGATTAAAAGAGGTAAGACACTCTTTTTCACACGTTTTGCAAATATGATAAAGTATAAGTTACTTAATAACGAGTTGTCCTATGTTTCTTCCTGCTTATTGTACCATGGCTTTTGTAGGCTAACTATTTTGGGACGTAAACCTCAGCGCCTTTTGGTTAGCTTTAGTTCTATAGTTTGATTTCTTAATTTCTTTACACCTAATATGATATTTCAGCCATTTTACACGAGTTTGTATTGTGTTTTGAAACTTGATCTCATTCATTGCTGTGCTTATAATAGTTGTAAACACGGTGTAAAGTTGCTGTTGGTCCAACTTAAAGCATTTTTATGAGACATTGCAAACTGTTTTCTTGATCAACAAGTAATGAGACATTACAAATATATTTGCTATTTATTTACTGGCATAACTGAAAGGTTTTTGGGGCAGTTCCATCTGATTTCATGTAATTTTTATGTCATTTTACTTTTGTTTATTGCATTTTGTGAAGGGGAAAAATATAGCTTGAAATATGTGAAACTGAGAAACAGATGCTTGGCACAAAAACCTTCAGTGGCTCTCAAACATTTCACATAAAATTCAACCAAAGACAAGATTTGGTTTACCACCAGACCTAATCTCTATAATCTATAACAGAACTACTCCAGGTCTAATCTAGGACTAAACCAGGTCTAAAAGTAGACTACATTATTTCCACTGTAATCCTAAACAAGAAAATATCCAAAGGAGGACAAAAAAGTGGATCAAATGAATCTTAAATTAGGCAAATCTTTTTTAACCCTACTCACTGAACCCCAACCCGCTCACGGTCAACCTATGTCGCACTGCCCTTACCCCCGGTGGTCAGCCATTGTCGTCCCAGGTTCCTCGTCAGGTTCCTCGTTGTTCTTCCACCTTGTCTGGTATTCATCGTACCTTCTCACTGCGGCATAGGACCACTCCTGACACCAAATGCGACATAGGTTGACCATTGGGGTTCAGTGAGTAAGGTTAAAAAATCCAGACAAAGACGTGAAGTAGTGGTCCACCATTTACTTTTTGTTTTCAATCATTACAAAAACGTGCAGGGTGCAAAATGGAGGCAGGCAGCAGTTTCCTCTCCAGCAGCAGAACACAGACTGATGTGAGGTGCCTTTTATGCTGGTCTGACTGATTGGATAAAACTACTATAGCTAAAACAGGGATGGTAAAATGATCATTATCGTAAAATCTTGACATAATCTTCCAAAAAATAAACCAAAAACCAAATGACTATTAAACCAAAAACTATTAACTATTAAAATAACTATAATTCTTTACTTCAGTTGTCGAGATGGAAGACGTGATGCGATTGGTTTCGACGGGTGACTGTGTGAAAATATGGGATGCGGTTTCTATGGCAACACTGGAGCAGTTCAACCCCCACAGCAGCAGCCATCCCATCGCTCAGGCCTGCTGGAGCTCCAACAGTATCCTTACTACTATAAACATTTAGAGTAATGCTTTTGTCATTACACCTCAGCTGGATTCAGGTGATATTGTAACATTAACCCATAGTTTAAAGTCTAGTTGGAGGGTATTTTTAACATAATTTCGTTTGCTGTTAAACTACAAAATGCATCTGTCATCATTTGGCTTATAGTTAAAATCTCTTGTTGCACTATGACACATGAGTGAAATTATCAGATTAAAACTACTGCAACACCTCACTCTTTCTTGGTCTAAAATTGCTTGTGGAATCCATAAAAGCCTTGACTGTGTTTTCAGATCAGTACTTGGTCAGCGCCAGTAGCATTGGGGACAAACTGGTTGTGTCAAGCCTCAAATCATCTCCTGTCCCAGTGGTGGAGCTTGCAGAAGGGGTAGGGGCACACCACTAAGTCTAAATCAAAACAAACACATCAGACTTGACTAACTGTATCAGTTCACTGTACAAATAATAAATAATAATAATAAATTACAATTAGGGTGTCCAAAGTCATTACAGCGTAGGCTATTGTTACTTTTCCAAAATGTAGGTAAATCTTATAATGTTTTCCAATTTTGTTGCAGAAAAAGCAGACTCGGGTGTGTCTTAGCTCGTCCTCACAGTTTGTGGTGAGTGGAGGGCTGGACTGCTGCATTCATATCTGGGATCTGAAAACCAAACGGCTGCATCGCACACTGGAGGTATGTGAAATTAGTTAATTAAATAGATCAATAATGCTAATAGTTATTTTTCCCCTTAGGATCATAAAGAGGAGGTGACTTGTGTTTCATTTAATGCCAATGACAGCCACATTGCATCCGGCTCGACCAGTGGTGACCTAATCCTGCATAGCCTCATCACGAATGTCTCCAGCAAACCATTTGGCCATGGCAGCAACCAGGTACAACTCCTTCCCATGAACCTTGCTGAACATCTGGTAAAAGGTCTCTGGATACGGCACTGCAGTCAGCCAGTGCTGCTCACAGGATCAAAATGCCGATGAAGGATTTCCCTATAGGGACAATCATGTATACCTAAACCTTATTTGAGAAGATACTGAAAATTTAACTGTCAAACTAGTACAAGAATCACATGCATTTACCACATCTGTCAATCTCTGAATTAAGGGTTGTCAGTTTTTATACATACTAACTCAAAGAAGGCATATGTTATTACATTATCTAAATAATTATATCTTAACTTTAAGCTAAATTGGCTTTTGATTTGATTTCACTTAAAGCTGAGATGTCTGACTTTTTGTGTGTGAGTTAGAGATGCGCGGATTGCGCTTACAACCGTGGACTCCGCGGCTAAACTGCGGGTTGGGCGGATGATGTGACGAAAAATAATATTTTAATTAAATGTGGGCGGGTGGCGGATTCACTTCTCAAATAAAAAACTCTGAACTCGGAGCAAATGGGGGGAGACCGAGCGGATGACGGGCGGGTGCAGTTTTGTGATCCGGTTGCGGATGAAAAAGTAGCCCATCCGCGCATCTCTAGTGTGAGTAAATTTGATCTTTTCGCCAAAAAGTATATCGCAAAATGAGAAACCTCTGCACTGTTTATTTCTTGTCAACAAGGGTGTAAACACCAAAATCAGCATTCTGACTGGCTGAGCTTTTATGGTCCACCATAGTTGCACTTCACTGTCTGAAGAAAGCTGTTCTAAAGCTGTGCACCCAATTTTAATGGTGTGCTAAAGGGTTTGTGAGAGCTATGAACAAGTTAAGACAGATTTAAATACCTATTTCCTCCTTCCTTTTGCGGTGTGAAAATCAGGTATTCAAGCATTAAGCCAGTATATACTATGATTATAATTAACTAGGGCTGCAAGAATAATTATGATGGAATCAAAACTGCAATTTGAATGGACATAATTAGCAAATGCTACAAGTACCAGGATTTCCTTCACAAACAAAATATCCTATTTTATTTTGTATAAAAACTGCTAACCCAGTAGTTTAGATCTATACAAACATCTTCATTCTATATGTGGTTATGTGTTGGTGTATCAATTAATGTATTAGTCTTTTGTCAATACTATTCTTAAAAAATAAATCACAAGTCTATTCGCAATGCCTCTCAGAAAACACGCAATTAGATATTTTTCCCAAATCATGCAGCTAGGCCTGTCATGATAATTACTATTGTTATTTATTTTTTGCTCCTCATGATTTTCTACAGTATTGTATGTTTAGAATCGTTTTTTGGGGATAATGTTGTTTATGGTTTGGTTTCAGTATTATCGTTTATTGTCTACATTTACTACATTTACTTTATCGTGACAGGCCTGCGTGTAGCCCTTTAATTCACTTTTGTGTCTGTAGCCCATCCATGACCTGCGGCTGTCCATGCTGAGGCGCTCGTTGCTAGGCAGTGTGTCCGACAGCGGCGCGGTGGTTCTGTGGGACTCCAACACTCAGAAGGAGATCCATGTTTTTGAAAGTGCTCACAAGGCTCCAGGCTCGGGACTGTCCTTCTCTCCGGCCTCTGAGCTGGTGGTCAGTGTGGGCCTGGACAAGAAGATCGTCTGTTATGACACAGCCAGTAAAATGTACAGCCTTTACTACATACCATATACACATTATTAAGATATTCTCAAAATGTGCTGTATTGTAGCAAAGAAAGAATGTTGTATTTGAAGACCAGAAATGATCTATTAACTTATTGTTACAAATTCTTTTAAAGCTTCAGTAGGTACCATTTTAACCAAAAACTAGAAAGTAAAAGAAGAGCATGTTTTGTTTTGTTTTGTTTTTTCTCCATAGGGAATGTTCCGAAGTTACTTTATTTCTGAAATCATGCAGATTTGCCATCTTCATATTGTTATTGTGTTAACTTTTGCACTACTTTCATTTGATCACTTTCAGGACAGTAGCCTAAGAGATTTTGTTTGTCAGAATTACTATCATACAAATCATACATTTGTATCATAACCCTGTGTATGTCCTCAGTGTGGTGCGTTCCATTCGGGTGGACAGTCCCCTCACAGCTGTGGACTTCACTTTAGATGGGACCGGTTTAGTTGTGGGATCTACTCAAGGAAAGATCTATCAGTATGACCTGAGGAACTCTAGTGCTCCCACCAAGGTCACAGCGGCACACAAGACCTCCGTCACCAGCCTGCGTTTTCAGAGTGGCGTCAGACAAAAGGTGGTCAACTATTATTTTCATATCTAAGAAAACAAGTAATGATCTTGCTTTCTTGTAATATGTTTAAACATTGTTAGAGTGGTCCTTTGAAACTAGTTTTGTATGTGTGTTCTCAGTCGAGTAAAACCAGCTCAGCTAAGGTGAGCAGCAGTAAAAAGTCCTCCTCCAAACTGTCGAGCAGCAATCACCCAGAGCCCTCCCCACAGAGAGAGCTCACCACAGGTACTTCTCATTTTATTATGTCGATGTGTTTGATTTCCATTAACTAATATCATTAGAGGCTCACAGTATTATGGGCTTCACACTACTATATGCACTTGTAAGCCTCTCTTAGATGAGTTGTATGATTTGTTGCATGGAGCTGTGGGAATTAGATGCTTCACTATTATCCTGTCTAGATTTTTAAATGATGGTTAACAAAAAAGGTCCATCTGGGCATTTCTGGAAAATAAGCAGCATATTTTTTGTACTGTTGATTTACTGCCATGATACTGCAGTAGTGTTTGAATATTGTTTCATTTAATTTAATCATACAAATGGAGCTGTGTTGTGTGATCAGTAGGTGGCGCTGCAAAGGACCCCATATCCAGAGAAGCAGAAGGACAACAGACTCCACAGTCGTTGCCTGTCACAGAAATGTTCAATAACATTGGTAGAAACAGTCTGGACATTTTCTCTCCAGCTCGAGAAGGTTAGTTCTACTAGAGGTGGGTTACGTGTTGAAATATGAATTACATTTGTTGTTTTGAAGATATGCTGGTGGCTAAAATAAAATATCAAGTTTATAATGAGGAAAATCACTTAAAAAGATGAAAAGAATAAAATAAAATTTAAAAAAATGAAACTTGCAGTGTTCCAAATAAGAACATAAAGACAATTCTTCCTTGTCATTGTTATGTGTAGATTCTCGGACTCTGGGAGTAAATGGAGACACACCTCTTGGAAGGACCAATGGTATATAGCTATACAACAGACATTTAAAACTGAGACTGTATACAGACCATTGCTTTTCTAACCAATTTATTCTTGTGATTTGACAGTGACCAATTTTGAGATGCTTTCCAAAGAAGGCGAGGGCCAGAAGGTCAGGGGCCGGGCGAGTTTGGACATCTTCTCCCCAGTGCGAGAAGGTTAGTGCTGAGTTGGTTTCTTTGAACAACTAAAGGATTATTAAATATAAGAAATACCTAAAATTAGTAGTGCAGACAGTAGTTCTTAGGGAGTTGGTGAAAGTGCAATAAATATAGACTATTGTTTATAGATCTGCATTCTGGCTCCAACTCATTTCGTAAAACCCCTTTGGGAACGCCCGTGGGCTCATCACAGGTCGGGACCCCTCTGATGGCATCAGCTGGTCGGTACAACCCTCTGCACAACACCTTCATGACGCCTCCCCCTATCAAAGAAGAGGAACTGACCCATAATGCACCTGACCTCAAAGAATCCAAGAAGGTGAGAGCAAAGGTTTGATTGTCAAAACCCTTTTTTTGTCAGTCAACTTACTTTTGTTTAGGTTATAAAAAAAAAAAGTTCATTGTATTTATTACTTTAGAAAAATTGCCTTTTAAATGTTTGCTAAGTAAAAAATAGTTTTGTCCCAGTACAGATATATTGTAAGCGGTTCTTTGGATCAAACTATAAAGTGTTTTTATCCACCACAAAGTTAGCATGGTATTTGTAGAATTCATTAGAATTCATAAACTCTTCTCAGTTTGTATTTGGGATGCTAGGAATGCTTTAGTGAGGAATACATTTGTTAGTTAATTATGTTTTTCTTGTTTTTCAATTAAATCATGCATGAGGCTACACTAAAGGAAGAATCTCCATTATGAAAAACAGAACAAAATCAAATTAGTTAAATCATCCCTCAAAATGTCATAAAACTATAACACTAAATATAACGGCACATCTGGCATCGACATCACTGCTTCTATATTTAATTTCACAGTTTGACAAAGGCAGTGCTTCGAGTTTAGAGACAGAAGCTCAGACCACACCCACTTCCTTGACGCAACCGACCAATCACAGCGAACAGCCAAAGTCCACCTTTTTCACCCCGGAGGCCAATTGGAGGAGGGGGGACAGCGTTCAGACTCAACTCACCTATGGCTCACCTGTCCAACCAGAAACTCAAACCACAACCACAGCTGCTGCAGCAGGTAAATTAGAGACTGCAGACAACATGGAAAGGGTCGAATGAGACGGCAAATTCAACTAAGATTTTATGGATAAAAATACATTACATTTTAGCATATGTTACAACTATGTATTCTTGACAGCTGTAGTTATAACTAATTTGATCTACTACTAGCTAATCTATTTGGAGCCCAAACACTGATAAATTGTGCAGTTCTTAATGTTTTTTGTCATATTGCTCAGCCAAACACCTACCGGAAATTTTAATCCATTAAATTTTTATGTGATTTCATAATGTCCTATTAAAAACAGTTTATTTATATTCTAATCTATATAACTTCTCCTGTAATACAATAGACTCTTAATCATTGCCATTTAACAGAGAAAAAAAACAAAAACATTTCTTTTAGCACTTTGATTTTACTGCCACAGGATTGGCTGTAGACCTCAATAAAAAAAAAGAGCCATTCATGTCCTTGACAATTATAAATTACATAATCTCAGTCTTGATTAAAATATGAGTTTTTGCACAGCCCTAGTTATACAATTCTTTTAATTTCAGTTATTATATATTTCAGTATTTCTGTCATTGCCATTTAGCAATCATTTTGTTTGTAGGCCCTGCTCTGTCTGCTGCCATGTCTTCAACTTTGACCCAAAACATTGCAGAAACGGCAAGTCAAAATGGTGCTCCATTCACTTCACTTCAAATGCACTTTATTCAAAATATGATCCATGAGACACTGGAGGACTTCAGGTGTGTTCTTTCATCATAAAAATATATTCCAGCTGTTGCTATATTGTATAAAGCTATAGTCTTTGAATTTGCTGCCTCCTACAGAGACGCATGCCACAAAGATATCATCAACCTTCAAGTCGAGATGGTTCGTCAGTTTTGTATCCAACTGGTAACTTTCACACTCATACACAGCAAATTTTCCATTATTATGAGAACTTCTATGCATTACCAAATGTCTTTGTAATTTCTAGAATGAAATCCACAATTTGATTGAGAACTACTCTGTGAATGAGGCTTTGGTTGAAGAGGTTCAAAAACTCAAGGAAGAAAACCAGAAACTGCGTTCCAATTACTGAGCAAGAATTACTGTACAATCCTGAACCATCAAACTGGAACAGTAGACACAAGAGACTGCTCTAACAAAACTGCCTAATCTTCAACTACATGTTGAGAGAACAAAAACATTTGATAGAATTCGTAAAGGGTCATATTTCTAGTGGTTATTCAACTATTGTGTGCTGCACTGGTGATTAAGGGGGTTGTACTGTTCCCTTACAATGAATATTACTGTAGCTCCTTTACAGCTGCCATTGCCTTAAGTGCCTACTGTTATTTTTACAGGGCTTTTAAACACAATTGTGAGCTTATGAATTTACTGAAATGAGACTGAAAGGTTTGAGGAAATGGTTTGCACTTTTGGAGAAACACTGTGTGATTGTTGTTTTGAATAGCTGTATCATGTACTTATTATGTAATTATTTGTGTAATAAAAAGAAATGACAAATGTTGATATTCTTTCTTTTAGTGATGTATGTAATTAGATTATTAGTGCAAGATTTAGAGAATATTCTTTTTAAAGGTATTAAATAAGTACTGAACATGCCCGGACATTTATTTTTTCCCCGACATTAACCTTTAGTATGTCAATATAAAATGAAAAAATTCTCTTGCTATTAATAGTTAGTGGCGTACCTACTGTTGTACGCGTCGTACGTGCGCACGGATCTGGAGCAGAAATATAATTCTCTTGGTTTGTGCGCTCTTTGGCTGTTTACCCCATAGAACAGCTGTGCTAATTCTTTACGGGACACAAAGCGAAGAGCCTTCATCAACCAACTCTAGATTTTACCATTACTAGCGCCTACTTTGCAGATATTTTTGCGACATTTAACAATTCATTATTTACTATCTTAAATGTAGTTTTTAGTGATTAGCATTTGTTGGCTAGCTAGCTAACACAGCAGGTGACTGAACTAAATGCTCTTCGGGTCATCGCCTAAAGTCCACCAAACAGGTAAGAACATAGTGTTACATTCAATTTCGCATCATATGGCGCTTTAATTGAGACTTTATTGTTAAGCAAACTTGTGTGCCCGAATTGTAATGTAATTTTAATACCATGTCTGATAGAAAATCTCACTTGACTAACACTTAAGTCACTTGAGTAACAGTGCTGATCAGTGTCATCAAGTCTCCTATCATGAGTAGTAGTAGAAGCATAAGCCAGAAATATATTTCCTATGATACACACATTAGTTATTAATTTGTAGACCGTAACAGTGACCACAGATCGTTATGTAGATTCCATTATCACAGCTGACCTATCTTTTTTTTAAATAATAATCATACTTTTATTACTATTGTTGCTCCTTGAACTTGACTTAAGTTTTTGTCTTTACTTTCAGCCCTAAAAATTTCTTCTGGGACAATGGCAAACCCACTAAGACCTGAAGTGGTTCGGCTTTATAAAAATGTGAGTTTCTTTGTGATGTGATAATTCTCATGTCAATTTACATTACATTTTTTAAATCTGTGAGAATGAAAAAAATCTGTATTATCAAAATAATATTGTCTTTTCCTCTTCTTTAAGCTGTTGTACCTTGGCCGGGAGTATCCCAAAGGTGGAGACTACTTCAGGGACCGTCTAAGAGCAGCGTTTGCCAAAAATAAGTCGGTCCAGGACCCAGAGAAGATCAAGGAGCTGATTGCAAGAGGAGAGTATGTGATTCGCGAGCTGGAGGCACTATACTATCTGAGGAAATACAGAGCCATGAAACAACGATATTACAAGGACAGCTAATTTACCTAAACAAAGACTTGTGCATATGAGCCACTACTAACAAATGTTGGGATAAATGTTAAATTAGGAACAAATCAACAATAGAATTACATTGTTATATTGTGAGTCAAAACATGATTAACCACAATTGAGTCCCTAAATGAACTATATACAACTATTACTATGGGATTTGCAATTTGGTTTTAACCACAAAGCATTTTCAACACTAAAAAAATTACAGCTAAGACATGACATACATTTATTACTCATTGCAAGAACTACTGAGCAAATAGCCATGTCTTGCGAGAAAAGTGCCTTAGCATTGAAGCAATAGAATACCATGTAAAACACATACATTTTGTCAGAAGATTGTACCGCTATTTGAGAATTCCTCCTCAAAAGAAAGGTAACAACTAATAGCCTCAGTGTCCACCGTAATATAACATTTACTTAACAAATACTGTATAACTTTTAAGATCTTATTTATAGGTACCTCAAAATAGATATTTAAAGAATGAGATACATTCAGTGCTTTAGCTTTCACAAAGATTATGCAAACACACTGTACAAAAACAAAAGTTTATTTAACTTTTCTCTATAAAAGACAGGAAGGGGAATGCCTATGAACTCCTGAGATGGATATATGGAAAATAAAGCCGTAATGAAACACACTGAATTTTATTGAGGTCTTGTGGTCTGAATGGGAAACATTTAAATATATATAAAAGTTGAACGGAGATCAGAGGTCAATGGTTGTTTGGTTCCAGTGAAGCACCGTCTGCGAGATTGGCTCGACAGATGGGACATGTAGTGTTGTCCTGCAAGAGAAAATCAAATATATATATATATATACATAAATCCATTAAAATGTGTTACAAGATTTTCCAGCTTATTGCTGTCACATTAAAGTATTATGCATTTGTAATAGAAGCATTAACAGCTCACAAAAGCATTTGGCATGAACTAATAGGTGCATTGTCTACCTTCAAAACAATTGTAAAAAAAAAAAAAAAAGTGAGATTTTAGCACTTTTGTGGTTAATTTTATTGTTTCTTTATGAATGTGCTATACTATACAAATATCTTGGTTGAGGTTCAACCACGATATCAGTAGGCACATTTTAGAACAAAATTCATCCACCTCTTATTATTTTGTTTTGTTATTTTGAAGGAGAACCTTGTGTTTTGTGCTTGAATTAATACATAATAGCTTATTGAACAACATGAGGAAAAATGTCTTAGTTTACCTTCAGCCACCTGTCGATGCACTGAACGTGGTAATCATGGAAACAGGGCAGCATCCTTAGCTTCTCTCCATCAGTGTAGTCACAGAAGCAAATCTGGCATCTACACACCAAAAATATTGACAAATCTTAATACTGAACATTAAAGTCTAAAACACAAACTAGTTTATCAGAGCTCACTGTGTGTTGCCAGCTGCACTTGTAGACTGGAATTTTTTTGTTGGAAACCTGTGGATTTCTCTCCGACTGAGTTTCTTCGACACAACTGCCCCCTGCCGCTCCTCAAACGCCAACAGAGCCTACAGAGAAATGGTAAATTGTATCTCATTAACTACCGGTAGCTACAAAAACACCACTTTCTCAATGTTTAATTTAAGTACAATAGTCTGTCCACCTCTCAATGCAAGAACATTTAAGACAACTACTAGGTACAAAATTAACAAAAATCATTCTGCACTTCACCCTCACCTCATAATCATTTCCCAGTTCAATGTCTGAAACGTTGCGCGTTGCATTTCTCCTCCGACCTCTCGTTTGTCCACGTCTTGTGCCTGGACCAAGGAAATCTGTGATAAGAATTTAGCTTTTTCATGTGTACAAACACACATACATACAAAATGTACAAATGTATTTGGACACGAAAACTTGTAAAACACTGACCTTCTTCATACCCTGAGACAGCAGCCAGGAGCCGAGGCATCCAACTCTGCTCCAGATATGGATTAAACTGATTAAAATGGAGAAAAAATAAAGCTTCTTATTTTTTAAAAGATGCACTAATTTACTTATGTGGTGGAATATCCACAACCCCTGTGTCTGCATAGAATTTTTTTTATACATAATAATAATAATAATCATCATCATCATCATCATGTCTATGGATACGAGCAGATGTCAGACAATCTTCTAGAAAACTTATGTAGTAAATTTTAAGCAAAGTAAATATGTATTTATAATTTTCTGAGAATATATTACATTGGATAATGTTGCTTTTGATATTGTTTTTTTCAATGCATTATATCAAACTGTAATGAATCCTAATATTTATACGACATAAGACAGAAAACATTACATTTTTTCCAACTGAACAAAATCTATCTATAGTCTCACCATGTGGCTGTGAGGTGGTGGGTTTATGTGGAAGTGATGGTGATGGTGACCCCTGTGCGTCTCGGCCTGTTCACTGTCAAACTGAGCCTGTCATAAAACAATCACAGTGAGGACAGGTAGGCTCATACTATTTTTTTCCAATGTGACGAACCTGGATGGTTACATACAGTGATATGATTCAGTTACATACCTTCTTCCTACCTACTCTCTCCCATTACCTCCCTGAAGGCAATAAAAAAACTACTAAAAGTGCACTTACTGAAGGTAGAAGTAGATAGTCATTTTTAAATTAATATTTAGTTCACAGTGAATTTACCTTTAACACAGAAATACAATCTGCTAAACTAAAACAGGAGTGTTTGTAAAGGATTTATATACACAAAACAAGACCCCATGGAGACAGAAGAAAAATTGTCAAATGTTTTGTTATTATAATGCAAGCTAGACTATTAATGTAATGTCTCTAAACTTGTATTTCAATGGTCACCTGTAGACTTCGAGCTAAAGCCTCATCTTCCTCCATCTGTGCCGTACGAACCACAGCCTCCTCGTCCTCATCACTGATCACGATCTCCTCCACCGCTGACACAGAATATAAACATAAGCATTTCACAACAGCAATCTGCCCAGTCCATTACTCATGTGCCCTGTCTCCCACTGAAATTTCGTCCCCCCTTCTGTGTTGGTATCTTGAGTATAATATTGTATTTTTAAGTCTGGCTTGAACATTATTTGGACTTTACACTCTTCAGTTTTGGGCTATTGTTTTCTTTTTGAGTGTCGATATTAATTTAATATATTACTGCTACAACATAATATACTGTCATGTTTAGTAACTGAACATGAAAATATTTGCTTCATAGCATCAAAATCCACTATTACAAATTAATTAGATAAAGTAAACATTTTTTCTTTCCACATGGCATCCACAATCCTCACCTGCTGCAGTCGGTATTTCCTCGCCATTCAGCCATCGTCTCTCCTCGTCCGTGAGGAAGGACAGTGACCCAGGGCTGGACGGTCTCTGCATTAGGGGAGAAGGCTGCGTAAAAGCATAAACGGGAATAACATCTTCTGTGGATTCTGTCGAGGTTGAAGCCCCATCCCGTTCATAGGCAGGGTTTAAGTAAGACAAAGAGGACGAAGAGGAGGCTGAGGAAGAGGCAGAAGAAGATGAAGATGATGAAGAGGAGGAGGAGGAGGAGGAAGAAGAAGAAGAGGAGGAGGAGGAGGAGGAGGAAGTGCTGGGATGGGGAGATTCCAGCCAACTCTCCAAAGGAAATTCTTCGACTGATGGAGCAGAGAAAACCCCATGACTTGAGTCCGCTTTGGAGTCGATCAATTTCCGTCGTTTGGTTCGGCGAGACGAGCCCCGGGTGAGTTCAGCGAGTCTAGATGAGCTGCTGACAGTAGCCTGGACAATGGAAGTACCAAATATAAAACCACACCATAATTTATAGTACACATGTGCAACAAGTTAAATTCTGGTTATACACAAAAGTTTAGTTTAGTCTTTAATTAAAGGGACAATGTATAGAAACAGCCTCATAAAAACCCACCAGGCTATATTCAAATAACCATCAGTGGGAAAAAATAGTTAAGTATTTTTGATTATATCCATGCAAAGATATAAGCTGATTTTTTTTCTCTATTTTTAACAGAATCACTGAACATCATGAGCCGCTGACAACAAAACATGGTTCAAAACGGGAAGAGAGGAAATTAAATAAATTGAAGTTACTTGTAATATTTCAAATTAAACTATAACAACAGTTTATTAATAATATATATAAGACTGAATGTGGTTCAGCCATATTTAAACAATGTGCTTAAAGACCCATGTCTAATCATATATAATTTATTGAACTTACAGTATTAGAATGTACATCCCGGCTGTTGCGTGCTCTTCTCCGTTTTCCAAGTTGAGGGCTGTAAAAAATTACAAATTTAAACGTTTTTTTTTGTGTGTGTAGTTTACAACTGCATAGAGACAATGAACATGTCTTTGCAATCTTCACTCTGGAGCATAGACTGTATTAAGAATACATTATTATAAGTTAGATAGATTATTATATATACAGTCTAAAACCCATGATTCCACCTTGAGAGTCAACATATCAGGCAGGTACTTACAAAACTTTAGTTAATTTAGATCCTAATTTACAGGACCAACCTGGCCACCCGGGCACAGCAGATGTACATTTACTATTCGTAAAATCTATAATAACCATTCCACCTCGCGTCGTACCTGGGAGTATCCGGGACGATGATGGACATGTCGGAGCAAAGCAGATCTGCCGGGTCCAACAGACAGCCTCGGTTCAACCCAGGGCTTTCAGGGTCAGAACTGTCTCCATACGCATCCGCCATGTCTTCTCCGTCTTAAAACAGCCTTTTAGCAGACAGTATCCAATCTCATCTCACCCGTCAGTCTATAACAAACAATCCATTAGCAGATCCAGAATATGAATCAAAATGAAGTTTTTTGGCGGCTTTAGTGTAACGTTAGCTTAGTTGTTTATCAATCACCTCAGAGCGTTAGTGCTGGTCTTGGGCTCTTTCGTAACACTTTTTAACAGATTTTAACTAATAAATCAAAACTGAACTGGCCCAATCAGCATTTATTCACAACATGCGGACTAACAGCCGATACAGTGCAGAAAAGGCGTGTTCAGCGATAAATGTACCAATTTTTAGAACTCCGTCCTGGCTACCCACCGCCACAGTGAACCGACCAACAACAGAAATTTACAGACGTGAGTTCCGGTTTGACAACAATGACAGAAAAAAAATGGGGTTATTGTTGGTTACAGTTTTCAAAATTCAATATCAGTTTATTTACTTTCTGCACCGAACAACTGGATGGTTTTATCTGAAGTATGATTGTTGACTTTTTATACCCACGAGGAAAGACCGGAAAGACTCATTACGTTTGTTTCCAGACGAGTAAATTTTTAGACGGACCAAAATACAAAATTCTGATTGGATAATATACCCGAAACAAAGCATCTGATTGGCTAATTTGGCGTTTGGCGTTTGCCTGGAGGAGTTGATTTCGGACCACAGACAAAAACACGCTTCAAAATGTGATGTACAAGAAATTTTGGACTTTTTCAGCTTTAAAGCTATTATTTGTTAAAAAACCTAGGCCATAATGGCAACGTTGGTCCTTGATAATGGAGCCTACACTGCTAAAATCGGGTACAGCCAGGAAAAAGTGAGGTGAGTTTATCCCAGCTAAGTAGCTAAGTTCAATGAATGAATAGCAGATTTATTACACGTATGCTATAATCAAGTTTAAATACTGCGCAGTTTAATTTTACTGAATTTATTTAGTATGGATCAAAACTACTATATTACAACATAATTACGTTCATCGGGCAGTAATTCTAAGTTGACTTTTAATAATTTGACATATTTCCTCCTGAATTGTCTTTTTAAAAAACATTGTGTTATCTTTTATTACTCACTAAAACATATTCAAATGTTTATTTGTAATTTTTTTTTTTTTTCAGTGTGATACCTAACTGCCAATTTCGCTCCAAAACCTCAAGACTGAAGACATTTACTGCAAACCAACTGGATGAAATCAAGGATCCCTCTGGACTCTTCTATATTCTTCCCTTTCAGAAAGTGAGTGTGCAGTAAAAATAGGCTTTTGCTAATAATGTTAAGCTACTTTACCAGTCTCTCTCTACGGTGTCAGGGCTATCTGGTGAACTGGGATGTCCAGAGGAAAGTATGGGATCATCTTTTTGGGAAAGAAATGTTCAAGGTGAGTTTAATAAATAAATATTAAATGTAATTAAAGCCGCGCGCGGCGATGGTGGGTGGCCACAAAGGTAAGAAACCGACGAAAAACAATACCCCTCGCCCCTAACTTTGTTAGTGGCGAGGGCCAATTACAATCTATGAAATGATTTCGCTGTCTGAACAACGAAAAGTCACAATCATTTTTGCTAGGGTTTTATACTGTAAAGAACCCATGAAGTCTTGTTAGAATACAATTTTTAAAACTGCAGTTGAATCTGGTGCATATGTGTGTCTGTTTTCAGGTGGATTTTGCAGACACCAGCATTATTATCACTGAGCCATACTTCAACTTCACGTCAATCCAGGAGTCGATGAATGAGATCCTGTTTGAGGAATATCAGTTTCAATCAGTTCTGCGGACAAATGGTGAGTTTTTTGAGACATTGGATATATTTACATTGACAGTAAAAATCTGGAAAAAAATAAATAAAAATTTGTCTGTGTTTAAATGCACAAAAGAAATCTGATCATACAAAACATCTGATGACTTGTGTCAGTTAATGGATCTGTTGCATTTGGAAGACATAGTACAGTGAATTTAAAAATAAGTCTTTCAACCTTTAACAGTTTCTCTCTCATTTTGTCTTTGCTTATAGCTGCATAATTTACCTTGTCACAATGTGTAGGTTTGAACAAAAGCAGAAAAGAATGTAATCTGATATGAACAGTCTTTTGGTGTGCATGTAAACATAGTCTCTGTCAAGACCAGTTCAGTTAGGCCCGATGCGATATATTGCTTAAGGAAATATACGTAGACTATAAATGATAATATTGAACTGATACCATAATCCTAAAGTATGATTACCCTAAATTACTTTAAATGTACAATATTATAAAACAACATGAGCTGCAATTAATAAACAGCAGAATGAAATACATTTTGTAGTTCTATCATGAGTTATTTTATAAATCTTTTGCAACTCAAATCTTACTATAGTACAGAAAAAGAAAGAAAAGAGGAAGTACCCACAATAAATATTAACCCCCAAAAATAAGTGCTTCGTCGATCATGTATTCGATCAGTCGATATAAGTAATTATCATAACAGGCCTACAGTAAAGAAACCCAATCAGTAACCAGTCTAGACCAGTCCTAACTTAGAATATAATTTTGTATTTTATGTTTCTTTCTTGCAGCTGGATCTTTGAGCGCTCACCATTACTTTCACACAAACCCAAAAGAGTTGTGCTGTTTGGTTGTAGACACTGGTTTTTCCTTCACTCACATTGTTCCGTATTGTCGCAGCAGAAAAATGAAGGAAGGTATACGCAGGTGAGAGGCAGATCCATATCTTAAATTTAAAGACAATATTTTCCAGATTATTTATTTATTTACTTATAACTTGAACTGTTTGTTTTGTTTAATAGAATCAATGTTGGAGGAAAACTTCTGACAAATCACTTAAAAGAAATAATTTCATATCGGTAATTACATCTTCCTTCTTTGTGATTATTAAGAGTCAAATCTATTTCTTATGCTTATGGTGTGTATAGTTTTTTTTTTTTTTAAACAACTAAAATCTGCATAATTGCTTTTTCAGGCAGCTGCATGTTATGGATGAGACACATGTGATAAACCAAGTGAAAGAGGATGTCTGCTACGTTTCACAACAGTTTTACAAAGACATGGAAATAGCACAGTAAGATTATATGAGCATTGAATAAATTATAATAATAATTTCATATTAACTACAGTATTGTTAATTTGAGCCTTACTTTGTTAATAAACCAAAATACATTACCTTTACTATAATGAGTGCTTAAATATTTAAGTATACATTGAAATAATTGTTTTTTTCTTATGTTTCAGACAAAAAGGAGAAGAAAACACAGTGATGAGAGATTATGTTCTTCCAGATTTCAGCTCCATCAAAAAGGGCTTCTGCAAAGTAAGACATTTATAGTCAATTATTCCAGTGTAAAATATCATAACTCCACTGTGACTTCATGTAGCTTTTCCTCACTTTTACCCTCAGCCAAGAGAAGAAATGGTGTTCAGTGGGAAGTACAAAACTGGGGAGCAGATTTTGCGTTTGGTCAATGAACGTTTTGCTGTTCCTGAGATGCTCTTCCACCCTTCGGACATCGGCATCCAGGAGATGGGGATTCCAGAGGCCATAGTGCACTCCATACAGGCCATGCCAGAAGGTAAGATGTTTTATTCAATATTGTAGAAGACACTACATGTATTTTTGTTTTTATTGCACAAAATACCTTGAAAAACACGCATGATTACAGTAAGTGGACTCACCTTGGAAACAGATCAGACTTGGCTTGTATTTGTGGTGATAAGTTCACTGTCATACTGAGAAACATTCTAGGCAAAGCAACAACATCTCTATTGAGACAGGTAGAGCAGGTATTAGACACTACACCTAAAAAGCTATATAGTGCACCTTTAACCTAATTTTCTGATATACTGTATGCTGCTTTCAATAAATAAATCTTAAATACAGTGCCAATCCTATAATAATAATGTTTTAGAATAACCTTAGCTTTTGGAACGCCCAAACAAAACAAAAAATATATATATATATATCTTTTTGAAGTCATATTTGTTGTTGTCCTTCAGAAATGCAGCCCCACTTCTACCAGAACATCGTGCTAACTGGAGGAAACACTCTGTTCCCGGGATTCCGAGAGCGACTGGAGGCTGAGCTGAGGTCCTTGGCTCCTGCTCACCTCCCTGTGTCCATCCTGATGCCTGAGAAGTAAGTCTTTTCTGTAACCTCATATAGTATAAAACTCAGAACTGTGTAAACTGTTTGTAAAGGATCTTGCTTCTATTAAAGGTGTATTGCAAACAAGAACACATTTTTATTTTAATAAACATGACCTTTCTGTGCTGTTAGATATGAAATAGATGTGTTCAAATCAGATACTTAATTACTGATAACAGCTGATGATTTCATTGATTTGATTGTATGATGGTTTATGATGTCATTTGGTGATTTGGTTCTCCAGACAATTATCCAATCAGAAAGCAGAATGAGCCTCACATGAGGCTCTCATTTGGGTTGCCGGTTCCTACAACTAAAAGGGCTCTCTCTGTTTGAATCCTCACAGGGGAGGACAAAGGAGTCTGTTGCCCCGGGTCCCAGGATCTTAGGGGCCCAGAACTGGACACTCTTCTTATTAATTTATATTAGAGGGGGGTCCATTTGAGGTTCCAAAATTTATGTCAACAGGCTTGCATCGTTGCTACCTTGACCGCAGCACCTGCAGCCAATCATGAATCAATGCTAGTTCAGCTTCTGCAGCTCAGTGAGGGAATTCTAGAGGTTCTGAGCTTTCACATGAAGCATGGCCTGTCCTGGAGAAAAACTTGTATGTGTCCTCTATATGCAGGTTAAGGCACTGGCACTGTGCAGACTATACCATTCCTTTTACCATAAATTACTTTTACTGAACTCCAGAGACAGAATAAAGGTTTTTTAGTAAAAGAGAAATTAATTTCTGTCAATTGGACAAAAGTTCTTTTGATCAAAAGATATTTCACAGCTCACCCAAGCTGCTTGGATCCTACATGGAGGACTGAGGGATTACACAGACAATGAAGACTCTTATATTTATCTCTGACTCAAATTTCCTGAAACATTTAATACTTCTTAAATAATTAACCTTTGAGAACACAGTAATGAAATATCTAATGGTATGCTATTATTTTTGTTTATTTTGTTGTGCAGTCCGATCACATATCCTTGGGAAGGAGGGAAACTTTTGGCTCAGAATCCAGACTACGAGGAGATGGTGGTGACAAGGGACGACTTTGAGGAAAATGGACACTGTGTTTGTGAAGAAAAGTTTGACGTTTGAAGTGAAGTAACTGCAGAAAAGGACCAAAACTAAGGGACTGAAATAATTCAAGCGAACATTAGCAGTTAGTGTATGTCTCTGTTGAATTGTAGCTTGGTAAATAAAGGCACTCTAATGGGAACTTGCTGTTACATTAATTGTATATTGTTAAATCATGGTAGTAGTAGTAGTAGTAGTAGTAGTAGTAGCAGTAGTAGAACGTATTCATTACAAATTACTCTTGCTGAAAACATATACTTGTCATGCTGCACTAACACACAGCATGCTATGCTCACATTTTACCACCAGATGTTGCCAAAAGGCAAATCAAAATTTTGGAGCTACAGAAGGTAAGCTGACAGTTTCACATGTAGTATTTGAAAAAGACGATATACTGGTTGTTATGTGGCTATGAATTCAAAGAAAAAGCCAAACAATTTAAAACAATGTACATTATTTTAATTTGTTCATTTGTACAAGCTTCATCATTATCTAAAATTCAAAAATAGATTTATAGATGGCCTTCGCTAACCTTTGAACAGTTTGTACATGCCTCAAATTCTGCTACTAACTTTTTTATACCCAGTGGAGGATATAACACTGGATTTAACATTATTCTATTTTTTTTTTTTTTGTAAAAAAAAAAAAAAAAAGTAGTTTTATATGGTTAAAAAAGGCTATACGCTAAGGAACAGTTACTTTTGTCTAACATAGGAAAACCAGGAAAGCTCTGCATTTTAATCAAAATCAACATAAAACCATCAGGAAACATAAATGTACTTTTGGAGGAGTCTGTGTTTTGCATTTTCATGAAGGAAGAGAGACACTTGGTCCAATATGTTCCAACTGATTAGGTAGATTTCTTCTCCCCTGGAAGAAAAAAATAAAATAATCACAATCTGGATATTCCTGATTTGTGTACAATAATTACACTTTTCATGCTGAATATGACTGTTTGTCTGTAGATGGCGCTATATGTGACCTTTTACATAGATTTGTTCTCTGTCCATCTATATATGTGTGTAATATATATATATATATATACACACACACACACGTATAACAGTACACATATAGAGAGATCAAATCTCTGATATTGACAGTGCTCTTCTGTCTGTGGTAGACATTGGTGTGAGTCTCACCTCTCGTCTTCTTGACTTTGGGAGAGCAGGGCTTGGACACAGTCACGGTGTCTTGGCAATTGGCATTGAATAGGACCTTCTTCAGGCTGCCCGACCGGCTCTTTGTGTTGCTGGCAGCGTCACAAGGTCCCCAGGGGCCAAATTTGTACTTACAGTCACCTACAGAAGACCAATCAACAGTAAGTACTTAATAATAACATACTTTTTAGATTTTTTTGGCCTGTGTATATATGCAAGTGTGATTCGGGGTGAACAGTGGGAAGTGACAGTCAGCAAACTGTTGGTGTGTTGGAAACAAGCCCCTAGGCCTCGGCTTTTGTACAGCTTTGTTCATTTGCCAGTTTTGCTGTCAACGGCATGACTGCTATACAAATAAAATGAGCATAGCACCACTGGTCCTCAAATGTTTTATAACATTTAATGCAACTTTTGGATAATAAGTAATTTATAACGCTTTATAACGGTCACACAGTTGAGAACCACCACACACCTTCTTATCATGCTGTTACTGACTTTGTTATTAGCTGTTGGGAGTGCTGTGAAAAGGGCGAGCAAATCCTCCCCTACCACTATGGCATTAGTTCAGCTATTTTCAATCATGAGATGAAATTTTTTAACTTGGTTGAGGGTATAGTCCATCTTAGATCAGAAGCATTGTGTTCTTGGGAAAGACACATTTTGCCTTTGTATGAGTGTGGTGTGAGAATGATTGGTGGTGATAGGAGAGACCACTGGCACAGACTGGCAGCCACATGTCATTGTTGTGGATGAAGAGTGAGTGAATAATCAATGCAATGTTAAGCACTTTGACTTTTGATCTTAAATGGTGCAAAACATGTTCAAGACAATATCTTTTTTTTTCAGGGTCACAGTAATAGGTTGTATTCATGTGATCTTCTTGAATGTCCACATTTTAAAGTGATTAAAATTAACCTACACTGTATCTGTGTTGTGCATAGCTGGAGCACAGGTCAGAATTCTATGTTGAATGAAACAAAAACTGGCACTAAGTTCAATGTTTTTCTCTTGTAATGGCTTCAGTACTTGTGTATTTGTGAAACCCAAAGTGAAAGGACTTTAAGACAAGAGATTAATACAGCAAGTTTGTGAAACAAATCCATAACAAACAATTATAGGATTCAACTTTTATGGATTTCATGCTTGGAAATTTCTTAAAAAAACAAACACAAAAAAAACAAAAAACATCCATAAAATTTTAGAACATGAAGAGAACCTATTGTCTCATTGTCATCACTCACTAATGTCTTTCTTCCAGTTGCAGGGGATCTTGCAGTGGATCTGGTTGGTCTGGCCTTTACAGGTGACCTCCCTCTGGCCCTCTCCACAGTCGCCCTGCTCCGGGACACACTTCCCATATTCTGTCTCCGCTGGGTTGCACTCGAAGCCTGCCTTGGCCCGGTCTGGTTTACCTATGGGCACATGGAGAGGCTATGAAGGTACCAGTACAAAAATATAAAAACTACAATGGTTATTTTTTGTTAGATTTATTACTGTGTAGTAGTTGTGGTAATATTAGTTGTAGTGGTAGTAGTAGTAGCAGTAATATAGTTCTGTTCATCAGACACATTATTAATTAATCATGTGTATAAAGTTTGGGTAATCCTTATATGGTGCCTAAACATTACATGAAACCTTAACACCAGTAGTTGAGCTATTTTATCCTTCCTTTAATTCCCAAGCCTATTAAGCCTGGAAAAAAAACATGCTTGGCCGGATACTAGATATTAGATTAGCTACACTGAATGGTATTTTACAATAACTGTGATTAAATCTCACATAAGACCAGTAAAACTGACTAGCCTATAATTATTAGTTTGAACTGACTTAATAACAACGTCTGTGCTGCCAGTGGAAAAGGAAAAAAGAAAACGGAAACAGTCTTGTCTACCTTTCTACAGCTTCAGCAATTTGAAGCCCTAACCAGTAAATCCTGCTTAAAAAACACTACAGCAGACAGTGATGATTGAGTTTGCCAAGTACAGACAGCTTTTAGTATCTTATTTATTGTCATTTTCTGACCAAAAGTGTGTCAAAAGTCTCTAAAACCAGACTGACTTGTTTTTGAAGCATCAGGAAACCAAGATTTAAAAACAAACAACAGCTGCAGTGCTTTGAGTCAGAGACACAGATTTTAATCATACTTAGACATAATACAGTGAATAACAGAAGACACTGTTGAATCATACTGTTTGTGGAAGTTTATATTCATCAGAAGGGATTATGGGATGATGCAATATTTTTAGGCAAGTTTTTAGCTTATGTTGTCTTAATGCAGAGAGCATTAGAGGTCTCAAGTTGATATGCCCCGTCTATGAGTGTGTTATTATGTCAAAGTTTAGTATTATGATTATTTTGACAAGGAATACCCAGTTTCTTTTTTTTTTTTTTTCAAAATTATTGACACCATGGCCAAACAACAGTAAAATATTTTTAATTTAATTGAATAAAGCTGGTCACATACTAATCGAATCAAGAAATTATACTGTGACATCAACCGCCAGATACAAAAAAAAAACTAGCATTTTTATGTTGTGCAGTTTTAGCAACTGCACAAGTACCTTTCTGACTACTCTTGACACTCAGAGTTGGAAATGAAAAATTATTGTGACTAGATCAGAAAATGTGAATGAAGTGTCTTGCCCAAGGGCACAATGGCATTTGGGGGTCAGAGTAGGGAATTAAACTATAAACTCTTATTATCTTTAGATAATGGTGAACAATCTCTAACCTTTTATGCTACTGTCAACTCAACCTCTGATGATATACTGATTCTAGTGCTTATTAAGTGCTGGATAGTTTGTGGTTTAGTCCTAGTATTTGTAATTAGACTCAAACTAAACAATATTTATAATAATAATGTATCAGTTTTATGTTTCACTTTTCTGGACACTCAAAGCGTTTACAGAGCATTATTCATTCACTCCACACTCAGTGGTGAAAAGATACTGTTATAGCCACAGCTGCCCTGGGGCAGACTGATGGAAGTAAGGCTGCCAATTTGCACCTTCGGCCCCTCTGACCACCATCACTCACGCACACACCACTTTCATACTAGGCAATGTGAGTGAAGTGTCTTGCCTAAGGACACAACAACAGTTTTTTTATGACTGGCGCCTCACTATGGCACCTGATTTTCCCAGAGGTCTCCCATCCAAGTACTTACCAGGCCCAGTCTTGGTTAGTATTGTAATACTAATAATAGTAATAGTAATAATAATGTAATATTATTTGAGATAATATTACATTTTGATCTGTCTCTTACCTTTGTGTCCTTTGCCTTTCCCTCGTCCGGCCTCTGCGCTCAGGGTCAGGGCCAGGAGAAGCAGCAGCGTCACCGAAACCAAGCCTCGCATCCTGGATAAAAAAAGAACAGAGATCACAGGTCTGTATAGGTCTGGAGTCCAACAAGCTCATCAAACAGACCGGGGCTCCTCAGTTTCTATGGATATAAACTTTATTACAGTAAAATGTATTCAGTACTCTTTTAAAGGCACTATACCTGATTTTTACTGTCTTAAAAACTTGAAAAACAGTTAATTTCAAACTGTTTGCAGTGTTCCAAAAATATTCCTCAATTACCTTATGCATTCAGAGCATCCTTAATTATTCAGCGCAATGAGTTTATAAGTGTGTTTCACAACTTTCAGAGGTCAGAGTAGAGTTTTATCTTCACAGTAACGTTGACAACAATTTGCAAATAAAATGCAAAATAGTGCTTTATTATTCATTGCATACAGTACACAGCAGAATAATTTTGACCTCTAGAGCTGCTTATACAATGTATCTGTACTAGGCCAAGACAAATGCTGCCTTTTGCCACCTTATCTCTTTTTTTATTTGGGAAAGTTTAGCCTAGTTATTATATTATAAAGTTTTTTGGATACAACAGTACAAAAAGTGTCCACTTTTCTCAATTCACTCCCGTTGGTCAAAGTCTGTCATGCTCTGTTTGTGTGATAGGTGGATCTAACCAATCACA